TGAAGACCTAGCTGTAATAGTCATGGGTCAGCACTAGATTTAGGCTGTACTGACATAGCGAGATAAAGAAGAGATTATCCCACTATGTGGCTAAGATATCCTGAAATGAGTGAAACCCTAAAACAAATAATGATATACAACCCCGTTTGCAAAAAAAGTTGGGACGCTGTGCAAAATGTAAACAAAAACAGAATACAATGACATGCAAATCATTTAAACCCTATATTTAATTGAAAATAGTGCAAAGACAACATTTCAAATGTTGAAACAGAGAAATGTAATTGCCATTGTGAATTTGATGGCAGCAACATGTTTTAAAAAAGTTGGGACGAGCGACAAAAAACTGGTAAGGTTGAGTAATGCTAAAAAAAGGTCAGCAACATGACTGGGTATAAAAAGAGCATCCCAGAGAGGCTGTGTCTTTCAGAATAAAAGATGTGGAGGGGTTCACCATTCTGTGAAAGCCTGTGCAGGTAAATAGTGCAACAATCCAAGAATAACATTTCTCAACCTAAAATATCAAAGTTCTTGGGGATTTCATCATCTATGGTACATAATATCTTTAAAATATTCAGAGAATCCAGAGAAACCTCTGTATGCAAGGATCAAGGCCGAAAATCAATATTGGCTACCTGTGATCTTTGGGCCCTCAGGCGGCAGTACATTAAAAACAGACATGATTCTGTAGTGGAAATCACTGCATGGGCTCAGGAATACTTCCAAAAACCTTTGTCTGTGAACATAATCCATTGCTGCAAATGCAGAGTAAAAAGTGCAAGTTAAAACTCTACCATGCAAAAAAGAAAACAAATATAAACAGGATCTGAAAACACTGTTGCCTTCTCTGGGCTCAAGCTCATTTAAGATGAACTGAGGTGAAGTGGAAAAGTGGAAACAGGGTTGTATATAAGTTGTAGATTATGAGAAAATAAATTAAACTGGAACATAATGTTGACTGTGTTAGAGATAATGGGGTGAAGTTTTTAGCAGAGGATGACCTCTGCTCTCCTGAGGAATCAGAGAGTGTGTTGCAGTGGGAACAGTATGACATTTAGTAGCTGCGAGACAGTGAGACAACACTAAATTCCCATTTCAAGCACACAGAGACCCTGTGTGTGCATGTGTATATGTGTGTGTGCTCTCTTCTTCTCTCTTTGTTGCAGCCAGCTCTGCCTGTCGCTCTCTGTTTGCTCATTATGAGTCTGGACCTGAATTTCTATAAAGCTGCTTTGTGACAGTCCATTGTTTAAAAAAGTGCTGTCCACATTAGACACATTCATTTCAAAAAGAGCTGCACAGCTATAGCTGTGTTGATAAAATGCGAATCATGAGAATAGTAACTTAAAAAAAAGCAAAGGAAAATGGGCTCTTTTTGCTGGTGCTTGTGTTGACAGGCATTCATTTTATAAAACTAAATGAACTAAATAAAATAAACGATTTTACTTTATATTTTTTCTTCCAAATGGTAGACATTATAGTTTACTTTAGGATTAGGTTTGTTTTTATAGGCCTGCTGTTGGTTCCAACCCATTGTCTTAGTACTATTGGTGCCTGGGCCTTCAGTTGTTTTGAACCCAGACTTTGGAACTCGCATCCCCTATATATTCATCAGTTGGACTTTATTGTGCTGTTTAAATCTCATCTTAAAACGCATCTGCTCAAAATGGCATATTCTATTTGATACATTTACTTGTTTTTAATTATTTGAATTTTTTATTGTAAAGTGACCATGAATTTTTTGAAAGGCACTTCTAAATAACATGTATTATTATTATTATTATTATTATTATTATTCGTGATTCCATGTTATATATGTGTGCCTTCTTAATGGGAGTGTATATATGACAACCTCATGTTAGTGTGTTGCTACAGAAAAGAAATTGCATTTAAATATACACTCATGAGCACTTTATAAGGAACACCTCCTTGTATCGGCTTCACTTACTGATGCACTTTGTGGTGTTACAGATTGTAGTCCATCTGCTTCTCTGCATAGTTTGTTAGCCCCCTTTTACCCTGCTCTTTACTGGTCAGGACCCCCACAGGTCCACCACAGAGTATTATTTGAGTGATGGATCATTCTCAGCACTGCAGTGACACTGACATGGTGGTGGCGTGTTAGTGTGTGCTGCACTGGCATGAGTGGATCAGACACAGCAGAGCTGTGTCCTATATGGTAAGTGGAGCTGATAGAATGGACAATGAGTGTAGATACAAGGAAGTGTTTCCAATAAAGTGCTCGCATGAACATAGATTCTAAGAGTCAGATTCTTAAGATAACTACAGCTCCCTCTAGTGGAGAATGTTTCTCATTTTACGTCTCTTTATTGGCCACAATAACTCTTAACACTCCAACGCAAACAGAAACATATATACACTCCCATTAGGCCAGTATCTTTTCACATAGATTGTTGTGCTGTATAGACATTGATGGAATAGCTTTTTAAAATACTAGGTCAGAAATTGTGAAATTAAAGGGTAATTTCACTGATTGAAGCAAAAAATCTGCATAGTTAAATCTTTCAAATGTAAACAAAGTCACTCAGTGTGGATTGGTGTGAAATGCTCTGCTGTAGAGTCAAAACTGTTCACAGTGGTGTTGGGAACCAGACATCTGAAGTGTTTACTGCCTCTAAAAGCATCCTCACAGAAAGTTATTATGTGAAATAGTTACGAATACACTGCCCGATGCCTGAGACATTTTTTATGATAATTTTGGGAAGATTTTGGCCTAAAACATGTTCATGGCGCAAAGGTACATGCAGGCTGTTGTAAGGAAAAATAGTACCCAAACATTTTTTCCAACATTTTGAATAGCAAATACCAATGTAAAGAAATGCAATTCTGTAATTTTCTCTACAATGCATCGTTTCAGTTCAAAATGTGTTTTCTTCATTAATGGCTTCTTTCTAGCCACCTTTCCATACAGGCTAGTTGTACGCAGAGCTCTTGATATCATTGACTGGTCACTCCAGTCTCAGCCACTGAACTCGTTCCTTCAAAGTGATTTTTGGCCTCTCTGTGGCTTCCCTTCTTCCTCTGACACTGAGTAAGACAACTGTGTCCTTGTATTGGGCAATGTCTTTCAGCTTGGAGACTCCAGAGCACAGTGGCCGAATACTTATGCAAACAGCATTTTTCAGTTAGTAATTTTGTCATATGATATTTTCTTACATACAACCAATATCACTTTAAATTAATTAATCTTCGGGGTCAGTCTTTTAAAATATATACAACATAGCACAAAATATCAAAGCGTCATTTGTAATACAGGCGAAACTTATTTAAATGAGGCATTGTACGTTACTGTTATGAAGTACACAATAGGATACTGAATATTTGCATAACTTAAAGAGCAACACATGAGCGTGAAACATTGTTAATCTCACTTTTCAGGACTTGTTTTATTTATTTATTTATTTATTTATTATACGCTATTATTAGAGATTGAGGGGACTCCAAAGATGGTTGTGCCCAGGGGGCTTGCAAGATCGTGATTCATCCCTGGTTATGAATGAGAATTAATTGATATAGAAAAATGAGAAACGAGAAAAATGGCTCCATACAAGCAGAACTGTGATACAAAAATAGTTGCCTTTATTTAGAACCAAATCTCGGTTTGTAGATAACAGAGTAGTCTGAAACTGAGTCTGTACCTGATCTCTTTGCAGTGGACAAGATGACAAACATTAGCAGCAAAACTTTTAGTAAAACAGGCACCAGCTACACCTACACAATACTGTAGATATAATCAGAATGTGAAAGTCTTGTGAACGTTATGGATGGATATGTGGAACAATGGAGGCAAAACTCAGACATGCACAACATTTTTATGGCTTCTGTTATAACATTGAAAGCTTCATTTCCCCTAAATACTGCTTCCGTCATATATTTCACTGTATAACATTTAAAAGTCAAGTACTTCAGCTTTAGATTTTCACAACGTCTGCACACACGTCTCCCTGCTAACCCCTAATTGATTTTGATTATTATATTTATTTAAAACGCAGAATCAAGATGTTTTAAAGCATCATTATATGTAAATGAATGTTTGTGTGCCATAACTTTTCACAGGCCACATCAGCAAAGAAGTGTGTTCTTATTTTCACATTTTCAGAAAATCAAACAAATACATAATTTGACTAGGGAGCCCAAACTTTTGCATATGACTGTAAACAACAGTAAAACCATAAGGCCATAATGAAACTTGAAGTCAAAGGGAAGATCGACACCTCTTTGGCTATTAAAAGTTATAAAAGTACAAAAACAGGCAAGTTCACTTTGGGTGTGGATGTGTGTTTGGCTTTGCATAGTAACAAAATGATATCGCTCAGATGAAATCACTTTTAATATTCTTCAATACAATTTATTTTCCATGGTATTGCTATTTTAAGAAGCCAGGCCTTGTGTATGTACAAGTTTAAAGGTATATGCTGGCCAAAATAAAAAGCGTTACCATAACTACATCTGGTGTAAATATGCATACTCACCTCCTACAGTGGTGCAGCAGTCTCTAAAGTGAGATTTTCAGGTTTAAAGGCAAAGGAAAACCCCCTTCTGATGATGCATGTCTGAGGTAGGAGGAACTACAGCCTGCTTTAAGGTGGATTTTGGGGGTGGGCTGTTTCAATTTTTTTTGTTAGCTGTTAAATCCAGATAGGTAACGTTACTGCTACTGTATAAATGTAGTACTGGTAACTCAAATTACTTTGATGACTCGTCAGATGGGGACGACAACAAGCTAAACGCTATCTAAATGCCTTACCTCAGTTTGGTTTCTTTTCTCTCGTCCCTGGCATCCATTTTGTGCTGAACAGAGATAGAATCATAATTGTTTTCCTCATGATTTTGTTCAACATCCGAGGTAAGAGTTATGCTGCCTTCAAGTCGTGTCGGAAATATTGTGTTTACAAGATAAGCACACATGAATTCCACCACAATGTTGTATTTATTAAAGGGAAAATTGGATTTTCTGATAAGGCCCGAGTTTCCAAGTTGGGGGTGTGTTGGCAAAAAAGCAACAGCAGCCACTGATAGTTGTATTGTAAACTGGTTGTACTTCAGTTATTCAGGGGCCACACGTGAACACTGCAGGCTACAATCATCCATACATCAAAAATCAAACAGAAGCACATGTAAACTTATGTTTACATGTGCTTCTGTTTGATTTTTGACGTATTGGCATCCTGTGCTTATCATTTTGTTGCAGTAATGCAGCATAAACGGATTCTCTTTAGTTAAATAAAAACAAACGTAAACAAAAAAGCTTATCTTATCTTGTTTCCGACCATAGCCACTTAAACACAAATCAAGTCGTACTTCCGAGGAACTTCTGAGAAGGACTTGCAGGCAGCATTACACTAATGCTAGCATGTTTGTATTTGTTAGCCTATATTTTAGTGATTAAGCTAGTGGTCAGGATTGGTTGACACCACAGGGATTCCCAATGTCTGTATGATGTATTTGCGTAATGCCTGCTGGGTATTGCAGTGGGAGTGCAATGATGAATGAAAACATGAAAATGATATATAATTCTGTCAAACTGATGAGGCTGAGGGAAATAATGCCCCACTGCAGAATACAGAATAACATGACAAGTAACATATTAAACTCTACTTTGTTTTTCTCCGGCAGGGTGGACCAATGGTGCAGTTTAGATCTCCTGCAGCAGGTCAGCAGGGAAGAAGCCCAGTTTGCGGCCTGTACTGACCTTCAGATAACCATTCACCTCCTCTCCTTTCTTCACCACGATCTGCACAAAACACAAACACAAAACACTCTCTAATACTATGAGAAAGCTCATGTTTTCTTCTCTTTAGCCTGTGTTTGGTACACAGTTGTTTCTCAGTTCCAGTCTGGGAGAAAGTTGCTTTGCACAGTCTAATTTATTACTTTCTCTAACGCCTTTTATTGAGGCTTATAAAGCGGCTTTTATTTTTGCTATAAGAATAGCAAAGCTATGGCCCAATTGGCAACATAGGATAAAAAAGATAAGAGGTTAATAGATATTATAAACGTAATGTTTAACCCTTCTAAAGTGAATAAGACTCAGCTTATGGATCAGTGTGAGCAGTCACTCGAATAGAACAGATCAGCACATGCAAATAGAACTTTAGGCCATTAGGGGGCTCCAAATCAGTGTGTAATTCATCAGGAAACTACAGGCCCATATTTTTTTTCCTTATATTTGATTTTTTTCTCTGAGGTCTACTTATGGGTTTATATACCAAAAACAGCCATAATTAATTTTTACATGACCACTTTGCAACCTCTATTTACCCCTTTGTATATTATTGTGTATATTGTGTGTATATTGTATATATTTAGAGTGTAATGTGTATATCTATTTTTTTTCTTTTTTATTTTGTATTTAAGTTCTACAAGGCTGCTACACATCTATGATTTTCACTCACCTTCGCACCTGTGTAAATGTGATTATAAATACAATGAAATACAATAGCAATAAAACAATAGAAATAAAATAAATAAAATGAAATAAATGAGATTTGATTTGATTTGATACAGCACCTTTAAATCTGAGATACATAAATGACCTCTGTTCTGTTTGGCTGCTCTGCATTGAGGCTCATTTAAAAACTAACACTCCTTATAACTTCAGTATGAGTGGCAGGGCTCAACTTCTGTAGGCTGAATAGGCAAAAATATACGAACGTATTTATCTGTATAAATTATTTATGTATTTGACATCACAAAAATAGTGAATTCAAAACAAACCGGTTTAGCACCTTAGTTTCCAAATATGGAATGGACTGGGGAATGAATGGTACATTTTGAAACTTTCACTGTTTTTTACATACTACATCAAACACTTTCATTTAAAAAAAAGTGAGAAAAATTCATTCTTCCATGATACAAAAAAAACAAACAACAACAACAGTTGTTACCAGTTACCATAACAAAAAGTGCCTCTGAGTTGAAACACATAGGATGTATTTCAAACGATTCAAATGATTATAGCCTTTCAATTCTAAACTTATTTATACTAAATTAGTACTAAACAGTACTAAACAGTAAAGTATAATGGTAAAGTATTGTGCAACTATTGGGCAGAATGTACTGCAGAACACTACACTTTACAGATGGCACATAGATTTACACCTGTGTCAATCAGTTGCACATAAATAAAATGACAATGCAATATATGTTATTCATGTGCAATTGATTGACACACTGAAAGCACCATTTCATTTCAGTGTAGATGCCTTATTGAGAATGTAGAAATTGAAATAATAAGTATTGCAGTAAAAATGACTGTAAACATGTTTCCCCATGCAGGACTGGGGTTGATAAGTGCAGTTTTACAGTGATACTGTGGCTGATGGCACATAAACTCCTAATTGCACTGGTAGGATCTATTTTTAAGGACTATAACAGTTTCACTGTTTAAAAAATATATTGTTTTGAAAATGACATAAATGATTCTAATAAGATAGCCCTGTGCAACCTCACTGGTTTCAAATGATTAGTAGGAAGCTAGGAAGGGAGAAAAGACATTTTAGACATGTCCAAAACTGTCCAGACACCCCTTCTAATTAGTGATCCTTACCACCTCTCTTTCAATACCACTTTTAACAAGCCCTCGTCCACCTGGCCTTGTCATTTCCCCTCGGGGGAATCCCAAGCACCATCTCAGGGGGCAAGGGATCAAGCAGACACCAGCATTGACTTTAGCAGCAGCCTTGCCCAGAAATCATTGCCATGTGATGCATTTCACTTTTCAAACCCGAAAATAATGGCAATGGTAAGCTTTAGCAATAGACTGCTTTAAAATTCTTGTCATTTCAAAACCAAAACATTTGATTTGCTGGACTTTAAGGTACAAACTACTCCATCTGTTATAAATGTATGCTAATACAACTTCATCACTTTCCTCTGCTAGCTGGCTCATTAGCATGCTAAAGGCTAGATGGCTAACAAGAACGAAAAGAAATGCATTTCACCACAGTTCTACTCCATGTTTAGAGTCAGACAAAGCAATTACTCACACACGTTATGTATGTTATTTGACTTCTTAAAAAACGTTTTGCATTTGTGTAGCTAGTCAAGAACGAATGTGTTCGTTTGAAAATTTGTTCGTAATCTGCAAAAATTCATTCGTAATCTGCAAATGGCCACTTGTATAAGATAGATGTCACACACATCCGAGTGGTGAGTCAAAGTGGGTGAGTGCAAGTTAAAAAAAAGAACTGAAATCTGGCTTTAGTGTTTACAAACCACATAAACCTCTTTTCTCCAAAAAAGATTTTCCATGATTATGGTCATTTAGGGTGGATACAGTAATTAATGAAGTGTGAAACAAGAAAATGTTATCTATGCAATTCTCATTTGCATAGAAAAAATGCAGATACACTATATGTCCAAACGTATCGTCTAATTAGTGAATTCAACTACTTTAAGGTGAACTCATTGCTGACACAGGTATTCAATTTATGCAGCACACACAGCTTGTACAATCTCCATTTAAAAGCATTGGTCATCATGCCCAATGCCAAGCTTAGGCTAGAGAGGTATAAAGCCACAGGCTTTGAAATGTGGGGCAGTGGAACTGTGTTCTCTGGAGTGATTGATCTCACCTCTGAGATGAGTTGGAGTGGTGTTTGTGATCCAGAACTAATCATCCAACATCAGTACCTGACCTCACTAATGCTCTCGTAGCTGAATGCAATCAAATCCTCACAGCACTAGGAAACAAACTCAGACAAACTCCCTATTAATACAGTTCTATGCAAATGTTAAAACACATCTGGTCAAATTACATGTTTTGTTGATTTTCTAAGTATTTCCTTTTGTTGATTTTCCCCAATATATTAAATTCAACAAATAAACAATAATTGTGCATTACCTTTTGCAGAAGTGTGTTCTCTGTACAGAATGTGTACTTATTTTCACTCAGAAAATCAACAAAATGTAATGTAATTTGACTAGGAGCGCTCAAACTTTTGCATATGACTGTACCCTTGATTTTAGATAAAACACTGACTGAGTAAGTGTCTACAAATGTCATGTCCAGAATGATGAGCAGAGCTAAGAATGACCAGAAAAGATACATAACATCAAGAATTAAGATATTGTTATATCAATATTTAGAATCTTTCCAAGCTTGAAGCATATTTGGCAGAAATATACCACAAATAGATCATTCATTATAAACAAATAAATTCAGCTCTCACTTTTGCTTTTCTCTCTACACACATACACATACCACACACACACACACACACACACACACACACACACACACACACACACACACACACATACTCACGTACCTGGTCTTTCTTTAGTGTGATCTGGCCCATCTCTCTGTTCCCCACGAAGGATCGAGTGACCTTGTAGACTCTCTCTCCTGCACGCACTCTGATGATGTAAGTCATTGGCAGGTAACCTGTCTTCTCCCCAATCTTACCCTGCATCACATACACATCAGTACTGTCATAATGTATTATTTTGATAACTGGGTATGTGGTCCTAAAAAGCACCACACACCGATATAGATTACAGCAAGAATGTAGCATACATTTAGTATGTTCAAAATATGAGGTAAAACTCACCCGCCACCATTCTTCATTAGAGTCATCAATAACTGTAATACGATCTCCAGGGCTGAAACACACATATACATTGATATACCTTTAGCCATGATTAAACTATGCTTATGTGTTTTTGTAGTCACTGCTCCAGTCAGGGTCTACAGTGATTAAAATACAGTACATGAAGAATACAGTCAGCTTCTTGGAACAATTTTTGCAGCTCTTCATAAAGATGGGTATAAAAAAGGTCATGGAAAAAATGTCTAATAAAAATATGAGACAAGTGTAACTTAAAATTAAAGTCAATTTAGTCAAAGTATTCACAACATATATGCGATTTCAAACACAGCCGTAGTCATTCATCAACATCGGAACTTGGACTGGAACTGGGTTCTAATAAATGAGACAAAAATAGCTTTTTGACAAACACTCATGGTGGGTTAGGCATAAAAAGAAGACGGTTATGCAGAAAACAACCTCATCCCCATCTCTAAGACATGACTGAATCTTCCACACAAAATGTACATTCAAATCCACACAAAAAGTGTTTCAATGACAGAATCAAGCTTTTTACAAGGCCATTCTCATCAAGCATATTTGCTGTTATGTTGGCAAAGGAATATCGCACAAGCACTAATTGCAGGGGTTACAATAATTGTGACACATGGCTTTGTTCAAAAATATAATTTTCTTATTATTTATTACAAATTTAGATTTTTCTCATATTTTCAGTGTGAGATTGAGCTAGACAGCAACAAAGGCATTTAAAAAATGACTTTACCACAGGTGGTAATAATTATGGAGCTCACTGTATATAAAAAAATATAATGTAAGAAGTAAAATAAAGCTTTGAAAAATCTTTAATGCATTCGTAAAGAAAGAAAATGTGCACTTACTGGAAATCCAGGTCATCCTTCTCTATTGCTTTGAAGCGGTACAGAGCCATGTAGTAGTGAGACTGACTGAAGGTCTGCTGCTGCTTCTTATTCTTAAACATAAAACAAATACACACTGTCAGTAATCCCTGAATAATTAATAACATAATGTTGTTATATAGATTAAACTATGTTTATTGCATTAGTCATGACTAATATAGCATATACACTGCTCAAAAAAATAAAGGGAACACTCAAATAACACATCCTAGATCTGAATGAATTAAATATTCTCATTGAATACTTTGTTCTGTACAAAGTTGAATGTGCTGACAACAAAATCACACAAAAATCATCAATGGAAATCAAATTTATTAACCAATGGAGGCCTGGATTTGGAGTCACACACAAAATTAAAGTGGAAAAACACACTACAGGCTGATCCAACTTTGATGTAATGTCCTTAAAACAAGTCAAAATGAGGCTCAGTATTGTGTGTGGCCTCCACGTGCCTGTATGACCTCCCTACAACGCCTGGGCATGCTCCTGATGAGGTGGCGGATGGTCTCCTGAGGGATCTCCTCCCAGACCTGGACTAAAGCATCCGCCAACTCCTGGACAGTCTGTGGTGCAATGTGACGTTGGTGGATGGAGCGAGACATGATGTCCCAGATGTGCTCAATCGGATTCAGGCCTGGGGAACGGGCGGGCCAGTCCATAGCTTCAATGCCTTCATCTTGCAGGAACTGCTGACACACTCCAGCCACATGAGGTCTAGCATTGTCCTGCATTAGGAGGAACCCAGGGCCAACCGCACCAGCATATGGTCTCACAAGGGGTCTGAGGATCTCATCTCGGTACCTAATGGCAGTCAGGCTACCTCTGGCGAGCACATGGAGGGCTGTGCGGCCCTCCAAAGAAATGCCACCCCACACCATTACTGACCCACTGCCAAACCGGTCATGCTGAAGGATGTTGCAGGCAGCAGATCGCTCTCCACGGCGTCTCCAGACTCTGTCATGTCTGTCACATGTGCTCAGTGTGAACCTGCTTTCATCTGTGAAGAGCACAGGGCACCAGTGGCGAATTTGCCAATCCTGGTGTTCTCTGGCAAATGCCAAGCGTCCTGCACGGTGTTGGGCTGTGAGCACAACCCCCATCTGTGGACGTCGGGCCCTCATACCATCCTCATGGAGTCGGTTTCTAACCGTTTGTGCAGACACATGCACATTTGTGGCCTGCTGGAGATCATTTTGCAGGGCTCTGGCAGTGCTCCTCCTGTTCCTCCTTGCACAAAGGCAGAGGTAGCGGTCCTGCTGCTGGGTTGTTGCCCTCCTACGGCCTCCTCCACGTCTCCTGGTGTACTGGCCTGTCTTCTGGTAGCGCCTCCAGGCTCTGGACACTACGCTGACAGACACAGCAAACCTTCTTGCCACAGCTCGCATTGATGTGCCATCCTGGATGAGCTGCACTACCTGAGCCACTTGTGTGGGTTGAAGAGTCCGTCTCATGCTACCACGAGTGTGAAAGCACCACCAACATTCAAAAGTGACCAAAACATCAGCCAGAAAGCATAGGCACTGAGAAGTGGTCTGTGGTCCCCACCTGCAGAACCACTCCTTTATTGAGTGTGTCTTGCTAATCGCCAATGATTTCCACCTGTTGTCTATTCCATTTGCACAACAGCATGTGAAATTGATTGTCAATCAGTGTTGCTTCCTAAGTGGACAGTTTGATTTCACAGAAGTTTGATTTACTTGGAGTTATATTGTGTTGTTTAAGTGTTCCCTTTATTTTTTTGAGCAGTGTATTATGCTTATATACATATTCTCCATCACATCCTTAACGGTTTGTCCTTAGCAAAGCGCCCACATTCAGGCACTCCCATTTCAGAGTAGAAAAGTGTAATATATTTACTCACAAATATGAGCAACAGTTTTCATGTTTTACAGTCCTGTCAAATAATAAAATCTGCATTTTACTGAATTGTTTGTCTGTATATTTTCTATGTCCTCCCAAAATGAAACAAATAAACAAACAGTGATTTCAGTGTTCAAATACTGGCACATCAAGTACTCGAGTACCTGTGCACATCCTCATACATTCCTGTGCAACTAATCAAACTGTGTACAAACATATAAAGTATATTTTGCTTGGTTAACCACCATCTGACATTAGAATAAATACAAATCAACACTAATGCAGTAAAAAGTATTTTTCTCGGGTGCCTAAAACCTTTGCACTATACTGCATATGTACAATGCGTATGTATATGCATTCTCAAAATGTACTTGTACATAACTGTACATATTTTATATTACTTTTTCCACTTATTTAGTATTTTATACATTTTATCTACATTTCTATGAGATCTTATGTTGACATCTGCACCAAGAGAAGAAAAATTCCTTGTACATCTTGTAACTGGTAAACACAAGTCTGATTCTGACAGATATACTATATTTTTTCACATACTTCTCAATAGCATTTCTCTTTACAAACTTATGAAACCTGGAATCCTGGCATCTCTTACCTTGTCATCTGCAGCTGTCTTGTCTTTCTTATCTCCATCCTGCTTTCCTGTAACAATAACAGAGGACAGCGTGGGCATGATTTAGTCAGTGCACAATAAAGGCTCAAATCAGATAACATGCTGGTTTCTAACACATAAAGCAATTTCTTCTTTTAAATGAATATCAGAAATAGTTTTACTTGGCTTTCTTAGTCACACATCACTAGAATGTGCACAGAAAGCTAACGCTTTTTTGTTTAACAGTAAAAAGCTCAAATCTTCCCTTCCCTCAAAAAGAATGAACTGTGCATAATGTAGTAAAAAATTTAGGCCTGCTAAATGTAAAAATGCTCAGTGGACAACTGTTAAACATCTTAGCGCTCAAAAAAGTACCACAATTTACTTTGTTCTTGCAACACATTCCAGTCTTGAAGGAATAGCCCAACAGCTTCCTCAGACAAATACAATAGTTTTGACAGTAGGTAGTTGAACTGCTTTTATGTTTTTAAGTCACTGTAGCTCTATGCCTTTCAGAAGTCTACGAAAGGTCAAATTTCAGGCATATCTTACTTTTAAAGCACACTTCACAACAAAAAACTGAATAATTTTTACACAGAAATACAGTACAGTTATACTATCAATGCATGTCCAACACGACTTCTGGACATTTTATTTCTGCAAAATTATTCAATCTGTCAAATAATTCATCGAGTGTTCACATTTTACTTGGTCAATAGCAGTAAAAACCTCATATAGAATCCTAATGTGTCTCATTGAATGTACATTGAGTGTACCGCACTGAAGAAAAATAAAAAAAAAGGTTGTTTTGTCAATGATCTTCACAGCCATCATCATCATCATCTCACCAGTAAGAAGACCTCATTAACTTCACAGGAAGCTGAACTGACAAGAAGAATCACTGCCAAACATTTAAATATCACGTTGCATAGTCGATGGTAATTTTCAAAGCTTCACCTTCTTCCTTTCTTGCTGATATATTATTAGGACCCAGCTTGTACAGTGTCTCAGAGTGGTGTACATAAGTTATGTAAACAAACTATTAGGTTAAAATAACTATTGCTCTTACCCTCACCCCCTTCTTCATCCTCTTTTGGCTGCTGGGCCTCTTCCTCTTCCATCATCATCATCATCATCTTGTCAAAACATTAAATGTTGCAAATTTAAAGATTGAAATGAGATGTCTACTTCATAATAGTTCAAATAAGTATGTTTGTGAAGGGTGTGTATTATGTGTGGAGGCACTTTTTATACACTTTTTTAACGTTTTAGCACATTGACAAATACTGAATTTCAAACATGGAAGAAAGTATCTTCAGCCATTTTATTTAGAAATAATTGCATGTTTTGTATATGTACAGTTTGTTAATTTGTATTCATATTTGTATTTGTTCAGTTATTCTTTGTGGCCTGTAATACTCTACCATTGCCAGTTTGTAAGAATATTAACTTGTGCCTCCAGTTCACTATATATTTTGTAGGTATATAGTTACAGACTGGAGCCTGTCTGTCTTTGCACAGTCTGTCAACCCCTCTCTACCACGTCCACTAAAGAAAAGAGACCACCTTAGGATCATCACTGAATATTGCTGGATTGAGAATAGTCAACCAACCAAAAATACCCCAAACAACAATGGTCTGGTTGGCAGTGGTCATATGGTGGTATTTTTCCATTGACACACATTTCTTGATTGACCAAATGACATATGTACTGTGATATGTATTGCAAGAGCCAAATAGAATTTACTTACATTCTTTTTATCTTCTGATGCCTTCTTCCTCTCCTTATTGGCCATGATAACCCCAACACGCAGTGTATCAAAGACTGGGTCACTGCGATTTTGCTGGCCTACAAACATACATATATATTTGTGTTAAGATGGCTTCTTTTGTAAATGTCACATAAACACTGATACAGTTGTTTTCTAAAGTATTGAGACTGCAGAAATTTACTTGAGTACAATGAAATGTTGCCTATATAATCCTATATACAGTTTGTACTATTTAATAAAGTACATTTTTTTACCTTTAAAAATCTAGCTAGTGACTATGTGACAGGGAAGAAAAAGAGTCACGTCGCCCCCTGCTGTTTGCATTCAAAATATAGATTAAGAATGCTGAGAGGTGCTGCACTTCACAAACTGTACCCCAATATTCAGTGATATGTGACATTATATCATTGTTCCAAATAATGTAATAAAAGGTTGTAAAAGACAGAAATACAGTTTTAGGAGCATTTTCCCCAAAATGGACTACAAAGCCTGTTGCATGGATAATGTCATCAACACATTACCCATGAAGCGCCACCCCACTGAGCCATGGGTTTTGTAGTTCAGTTGTATTTTACTCTTCACAGTTATATGGCTTAGCAAAATATGCTGCTGTTGTATTGTACTCATACCTCCAGTGCCTGCATAGGACCAGTATCCCAGCTTTAAGTGATTTTTAATCCATTATCAAAAAATTCCCTGTGGCAAAATGCATAGCCATTCACTACATTTTGAATGCAGCAAATAGCACATTTCCCCAAAGCACATTAGCTAGCTAAGTTAGCTAACAGGCAATAAAACGTATGTGACAGCTTTTAAGTTTAATAAATAGCTATCATGTTCTCTCGTTATTCTAAAAATTAAGCAAGAAGAAAAGAACCTGGTACCTGTTTAGCTAGCTAAGATCTGCTAGCCAGTCAGGCTAACAGCCATGCTCTCTCAGAGTTGAAGATCAGAAGTTCAGTGGTGAAACATGAAGATCTCGACTGGTTTCTGCATGTTTTGCTGCTCATAATAATGCCTTGTTTTTTTTAATCATTTGAAAACTAATGCAGATTACAAACCTGGCAGCACATGTTTGTCATGTGAGCTGGTAATCTTATCCTTTCTCTGGCTCCAAGCTTGACGCCTCTGAACATACCAGGGTTAAACTGTGGCCTTCATGGAGCTCAATGATGCTGTGCTTTGATTGGCTATCAGAACCGAATCTTTTACATTTAATGACTTTCTTCTTTCAGCTTGGTTTACAAGTTAATACGCACATTTCTTCTTACTCTGAAACAGTTATTAAAACTTAAAGTAGTGAAGTAAAAAAACTTCATAAATGAGCTTAAGCAACTTACTGAAAAAATGGCACTTTGAATTTACACGATTAAAAAGTAGTTGAACATGACTAAAATGTTAATCAACACAAAATTAATGCCCAAATAAGCCAATTTAAATAAAGTAATTGGGTTGATATAATACATTTTAATCTCTTCTACCAAGCTCAGCACCACAAGAGCCTGTGCAGGACATTTATGGCATTTAGCAGATGCTCTTATCCAGAGCAACTTACAATTTGATCGTTTTACACAGGTAGGCAAAGGTAGTGTTGGGAGTCTTGCCCAAGGACAGATGTATTACCCACTACACTACACCAAACACCACACTACAGGATGCTACAATACTTCTGCATGGTGTATTGTAGTATGTGCACTGTGAGTGATACTCACCAGGGTTATTTATCTCCTGATCATACAAAGGGGAGCTGTATGCTCGTCTGAAACCTGGTGGCTGAAAAGGCAAGAGACTTTATCATGTTAACAGATGACAAGCTTACATTATAGCATTGTGTGCGCACAGTTTGACTATTATGCTACAGTTTGAAGTTGAGAATTTGACACATTGATGAATGATGGAAGGTAAATTATAGTTTGATATACTCACTATTTTGCCAAAGCATCTCTGGAACTCCACGTATGACTGGCATGCGTGATGAATGTTGGTCTTGCAGTTCTTGCAGCGCAGGGCAAATTTGTTATTGACTGTGAAATAGGGGAGATGGAAGAGTTAGAGAACCAAAATTAGAACCAAAATAAGTCATATGCCATTTTTAAATGTTAAGGGGGAAATAAAGAGGGTTCTATTTTAGGCAGCTCATAAATTCTTACAGCTCATTGGCTCATGTGTATTTGAGTAGTTGTGTTTGTGTGTATGTGCAGTTAAACTGCTGACCTAGATTGCATAGATCTTTTTCAGACATATGGTTTCTATCACCACTACTAATAACAATTCTAACTCAGTGAATTTTTTGTTTACACCACAATGATTGAATTATGCACAAATATTGAAGAATTGGTGCAATTCCCATTTAACTGCTAGGATTTCGCATCTAACAACCTTTTTCACAGTAAAATACTGTATTCAGAAAATTTAAAATTTGCTGTGAAATCACTGTAGGAAAGGCAGCTTTCTGTCATGACTCAGCAAATTACTGAACAGTAGGCAGTATTACTATTTACTATTTATATAGAACAGAAAAGTACAGTGAAAGTAATGCTAATAATTGACTTTAATTTTATGATCAAGTATTGTACGATGTAAGTTTTACACATCTGGTAAGACCAGTGCACCTGAACTGTGATCACAGCTCTACACCCTTTAATGTTTGTCCACTCTAGCACAACTAATCTTCAGGCTTAAATAAAAAGAGCCATCGTTTTGAAGGCAGTATAGTGAGGCACAAAGTCTGTAATATACAGTCACACAGAAAAGTTTGAAGACTCCTTATCAAATTACATGTTTTAAGTCTTCTACAGAGAGCAAACTTAAATATGGCATTTTTCTGACACATTGAAAAAAATAAAACATAAATTATAAAATTTTCCTGATATTTTAAAATAAACATTAATTTTGCACTGACATATGCGGTTGCTTTTCTGTAGAGGATGTGTTAGCTTATCTTCACTTAGAAAATCCACAAACGTGATTTTTTTGCACATGACTGTATGTCTAGTATGTTTATTTGAGAGTTTTGGACTTCCCCACAACATGCAGCAGCATTTTCAGCGGCGATGTGGACACATCAGCGCTGAAGGATGCTTATGCAGCGATTCAGCTTCTGTTTTTGTGCTTATCAGACTTACGGACAATCATTCGAGCACAGACGTCACAGAACTTGGGCTTCTTGCAGTAATGGTCCTTAAACTTATGCGGCCTGTCATTCACCAGCACTACAGGTTCAGGGGTGGGGGGCGGAGGAGCCTCCTCTTCCTCTACCTCTTCATCATACACAAAATATACCTGAGAGAGAGAGACAGAGAGAGACTTTAAAATAGCCAAAGCTGAACTCAGTAAATATAAGGTAGAAAAAATTCACTAATAAAAAGTGACGTATATCACTATATAATATAATATAATAAACTTTCTAAGTATTTTAAAGCATCTTTTAATTTGTATGTAAAATACTTTATTATATATTTTATTCATAATTAAGGGGCAGAGAGCTAAAATGAAACCTGTTTTGTGGTGTATGGATCTATAGCTTCCTATACCTTCCTCTCTCCTAGCTAGCTTAGCTCATGGCCTACTGATCTAACACCACATGAAAACCACAGTTTGATTTCGACTAACTGGTGCTCTACAGTTGCAGGGTAAATGATAAAAACTCATCTCTGAGAAGTAATATTGAGTGACAGAAAGCCAAAATGAACCTGTTTTGTGTTTTTTTGAACTGCAGCCTGCAGAGCTCAGCTAACGCTGGTGTAGTTTGCGGGCTAGGAGTGCCATCCAGTACAGTACATGCTTGGTTATAGCTAACTGATACTCAAATAGCACCTGTTTATAGAATAAAAACTCTGAGAGCACTAAGTCAAGTGGCTGTGTTGGAGTGACAGCCATGTTCTGTGGTGTGTATAGCTATTAGCCTGTTAGCCATTGCTGAGCCACTCTTGAGTGTATTTTTTCTTCAGTATTTCCTGGTTTTAATTTAGCAGCACAGCAGATGAAACAATAAACCATGACCGGTCTTATGAGCGCAGAACGGCACAGAATGATACTGAGAGCCATTTGGCTCTTTTGTTTTCATTTTAATCTGCTCCTGTATAGTTTTTCGGTCATTTTCACTTACATCATCCCTGGTTGGGTTTTTAGCTGCAGGGTGAAGGTTTTTATCAAGTTTGTCTCTGTACTGTGCACAATTCACTTTCCTACCAGTCCTGACTAGGTTGCCAGTCCCTTATGCTGTAGAGTATCCCTACAGCATAATGCAGTCAAGGTGGTATTTTACAGCACAGACGCTGTGACCTGGTTGGTGTGCAGTTTTCAGTGTGCTCCAGACATTAGCAATCAAGACAAGATTGACTGTAATATTGTTAGATTATTAAACCTTTTCCCACATAAATGCAGATACCAGGTAAAACCTTCTAGGTTTTGCAGACTCTTTGTGATCCCATAAGGGAAAGAAACATATGTAAAGTGCATTCATCAAATACAACTGAAAATGTGTGAAAATGTCAAAAAAATATGCACAGTAGTGTATACTCTTTTTGGAAAGTGCTCCCTGTAGGTGTCATGTTCATGTGCAATTCATTCAGAATCATAGTTGGCTTCAAAGTACTTTCTCTTCGTTTCACTTAGAAGTGCTCGGCTGGGGAGAGTTTTTCACCTTTTGTACAAAGCACTGCAGGTCATTGACAAGAATGTGCAATGACTTTGCAACGGTTTTTGTCCTTCCACAAAGTTGTGCTTCTCTATAATTAGTTCCCTGAGGTAGACAGCTCTTTTGTCTTCATTTTGAACATCTCCTCTAAAAATTTCTGTTATACTGCGTGAACTTACAGCTGAATTCATTATACATTATACATTATACATTTCAGAATTTTGAAAATAAAGGTCAAATAAAGGTTGCACAGTATGATTTTGAAAATAAATTTTAGTAATTTAAATTCAAAGTGTATGAATGTTTCATATTTTAACATGTTAATAATACAAGTCAATACAATTCAAATACAAGATGTTATTATATAGTAGTTTGATTTAGTCTCAAATTCAGATAATGTTATCAAAATATTACAATTCAATGAGTCTATAATACATTATGATTTATTTATCAGAATATTATAAATATTATTCAGATTAATTCAGCTTATAAACTGGCACAACATAAAGCATGTGTGATACATACAGTGTTTTCATCCTCTCTGACCACGTTATCAGGTACTGGTGGGTTATCATGGATATCCACTGAGTCTTTATCCTCAAGTCTGAAAGGAAGGAAGAAGAAAAAAGAAATAAAGAAGCAAAGAAACAAACAAGCAAAGACAGAAAGAAAAGGGAATACATAAATAAACATAGATAGATAGATAGATAGATAGATAGATAGAAGTAAACAAGCAAACAGACAAAAACAGAAAAGGTGAGAAACAGAAATAAACCAAAAATGACAGAAAGATCAAAATATCAAAAGAAAGAAAGAAATAAAGAAAGAAATGAAGGGAAAAATTTAAATATAGATAAATAAGCAAGCAAATAGTTTTGCCGCAGGTGACCCTGGACCGTCAGATATACTCACTGGTCATACTGAGCCATGGTGCAGAAGGGCTTTGGCAGTTTTCACTCTGCTGTGGTAGTAGTAGTAATAGTAAGTGAGGTTAGATTATTTATTTGATGGGAACAGTTCTTCACAGTTCCACATACATGAACATACACACAAACACACATACACAACTGCTATTCCTAGGCAGAGAAGCCCACCTCAGCAAGGCTAAATTTGGGTCTCCTGCCAGGCAGAGCTACAGCACACAATAAGAATTACATTTCAAGTGCTCATATTCATTCAGTTTGTATTTAACAGATAGCATTTATATATGTACCGAACATTCAAGTACAACAGTCAGTCATAGATTGACACACCGCGTACATATTAACAGTCACACATGGAAGAAACGTAGGGGACACATACCTGCTGACTGAGCAAGATTTGCAGTCCAGTTGGCAGATCTCAGTTAAAGATTTAACGCACAAGTACGTTGTAATAAATAACAGTCACAGGTCTAGAAAGTTCCTAAACTCCAGTCAGATGCCAGCTAGAACTATGTTCTCCGTGGCTTATGTGTACTATAACCCACAGTCCTTCCTCTGATCACTAAAATGGGCATAGGGTGTGTGTCTGTGTGTATGTGTGTGTGTGTGTGTGTGTGTGTCTGTCTGTCTGTCATGTTGAGCTGTTGAGACAGCTGCTGGATGCCTCAGATGGTGGATGACGAAGGGTAATAAGAAACTTGGTTAGAACCTCTCTATAGATCGCTCTCGCACACGCACACACACACACACACACACACACACACAGACACACACAGACACACACACATACACACACACAGCTACACAATCAGCTGTGCTTGAAACTAAGAAACATATCTATGTTGTGTCTAGTTCAGAAAGCAGTAAGCGCTGAAATACTCCTTATAATTTTAGCATTACTGGACAGGCTGCTATAGGCTGAGTAAGTGGATATTACAGTCCTTTACAAAAGTGTGGGCACCCCTTGTCAAATCAGGTTTTGTTGATTTTCTACATGAAAATAAGTTAACACACCCTCTACAAAGAACACATTTTAATGAACAATTGCTATCAATTTGCCACAGTTTGCAACATACATAAAAATGTAGCACGTGCAAAAGTTATTGCACATTTAGTATGTTATGTTTGAGTTTGTTCCAATATGTTAAATTCAGCAAATAAATAGAAATTGTACTCTGAAATTTAAGAAAAATTACCATTTTGTTACCAAGTTTGTTATTTTTACTTAAAAATGCATTGATTTTTATGACATCACAAAAAAAAAACAGTGACTTCAAAATGGGCTGTTTTTGCAGCATAGTTTCCATGTGTGGATATAACAATACAACAATGTTTATATACCATCTCAAACTTTAAATTCATCAAAAGTGAGGGAAATTTAGTTTCCCATTATATGAGTTCTTTTAAAGGGGAATTCCACCGATTTCTCAAAATTCCTGCAGAATCCAGGGGTTAAGATTGCTCAGAGTGATTTGAAGTGAAATACTCTATTCCGGAGAAACTTACTGAATCCGAATTGTTCACAATGGAGGTGAACAATTGTGGACAACGTGGAGGTGATATGTTGCCTGATGTCTAAGACATGATCATTTTTAGAAGGCCTTAACATGCCTATTTAGACATGTTACATGAAGGAGATACACATGCAGGGTGTTGAGAGTCCTCAAAGAAAACCTATTATTTCATCAAAATTATATATAAAAATTCAGATGATATGTGCAGGTTGACTGGTGGTTTGGGATAGTAAATAAAATAATTACATTTGTGTTGTAGACATTGCGACCCCTGCTTAGTATCACCACCACTGTAAAGAAATCTAATTCTCTACAATGAACCATTTTGCACCAAACCACTCTGAATGACATTTTACACCTCAACCACTGAATTAAACAGAAAAATGGGTGGAAATTCCTTTTAAGTTTCGTCTTGAAGGATAGTAGATATGTTTGTTCTCAGTAAGAAAACTGTTTCAAAGCTTAGGAGCTGCCACTGAGAGAGCTCAATCCTCCTTGAAGGGAGGACCCTCAGAAGGTATTAATCGGAGGACCTGAGGGCCAGAGCCTCTTTCATTTCAGAATTCTGAATTGGAAGTCAAAGAAGAGATCCTAAAATTGGTTTAATGTGATCATGGTTATTTTGTGCCGGTGAGTAATTGAGCTGCAGCATTTTGGACTAGCTGTTGTCGTGGTAACAAGGAGTAACTGACACCCAGAAGGAATGAGTTGCAGTAGTATGAACAAGATGGGGTAAATGTATGAATCTCCTTTTCCAGGACACTGACAGACAGACTGGTGTGTAGTTGATCTTCTAAGGAGAAAAAAGCTGCTTTTGACTACTGTGGAGATATGCTTTTCTAACTAGAGGTCTGGATCAAAGGTCCTCACTCTTAGATATTTTTTTTTTACCTGTGATTTAACGTATGATGCCAGGTAGCCCAATTGTTCAAGGTTTTTTCATCACAATTTTTCATCACTGGTCAGATCAGGAGAGCTAAACAGAATAATATCAGCCTTATTCTCATTAAGTTGTAAAAAGTTATTGGTAAGCCAGTGTTTGACATCCAAGAGACACTGTTCAAACTTTTTAATGTTAAGCCATCATAGTACTTCAAAGGAAGATAAAACTGGTTATCATAATTGAAAGAATTTAAACAGAATGTTATGTTTTCCAGCACTTTCATGAGGTATTAACATGTATATGAAAAATAAGATTGAATAGAACCCTGAGGTACTCCACAATAAACTGGTAAGGGGAAAACATGTGTCCAAACAGGTCTCTTTTAATGGATTTATTTGGACGCAGTGAAATTTGAAATACAAATAATTGTATTCATAGACTTTGACAGCATTTTTTGATGTGGCATTACTGGTACATTTTGCCAGTTCCAACTTATCAACCTTCAAAAAAACTAAATATTGTGAAGCTTATCGTGTATTGAGAACATATCTTAAAGCATGGTGATGTTACATTTTTGCTATATTATCCACCCCATGTGATAAATCTGGCACAAATCTAATTAGCGCAAGCAATAACAGTACAGTTAACATTCTCCAGCTTCCCTTTAAACTCTTTAGAGGCACATATTTTAAATGCCTGTTCTAATTTCATTGCAAAACCAAAAATGAAATGAATCCATGTTTATTTGAAAGGGCATTCGGAGAATTTGACTTTTTTCACCCCTTATTTCTCTCTTTAAAGAGGCTGTGCTGCTGATTTGTTGATATTAGAGTCTGATCGATACTAAACGTCCTCCTAAGAACAGTCTCGAGTTCTCGAGTAGGCATGATTCAGGGGGGTGTAATCTCACAGACTCATTAGACCTGCTTGCATTAGACACAAGTAAAGGCGTAATTTGCCAAGTGCAAAAAATAGGCCACCCATGAGCTTTATGTATATTCTGCCTATGTTAAATACGTAACTAAGCATATATCTTAACCCTTATCAAATCGTTTAACCAAACGCAGTTAAAATATTTGCTTTGTCATTATTGTAGAGCTGCAGAATGAGTGTCTGACGCTCTGACGCTGAAACCGTACTTGTGTTTTTCCCCACCCGTATTCACACAAGCCCCGCCTTCTGCGCTGGGATTGGCTAGTAGTCCACAAGGCAGAATTCTAATCAGTTTAGAATACTAGCCAATCGTAGCGCAGGACACGACATCTCACCAATCATAGGGCAGAAATCGACATAGTATTAGCTAATGGTAGAGGAGGAGGTACACCCTGCTGCAGGAATGGCCTATGAGTATGAACTACAGGGTTTTTAAAATCTGATCTACGTATAAACTAAGTCATGGTGTCTTTTGTGTCGACAGTCGTATTTAACAAACACACATTTTACATTGGATATAACTTTATTGAACGAATGGTTTTAACTTTATTGCAATGTATATAACTTTATTTAGCAAGTAAACAGGATTACTGATGGAAAATGAATGTAAACCTCTATAATAATGATCTTATGGTTTGACCTGACCTGCAATCTATACAATTCTAATTTCCTGCTCTTCAATAAGGCTCAATATAATATGGCTCTTAGAAGAAAGTGATTGAAACTCATAAGACTGGAGAGGGCCTCCAATTGTTCACCTTCAGGTAAACTATGTACAACCATGAACTCAGCACCATTGCTAGTCTAAGCAGTGGACAAAGAGGTGCAGCATGCAGTGTCCTCAAAAGTGACAAATAAACTGACCAACTTCACTCCTGAAGGCTCAGGTTTTGGCTGTAAGCCTCTATCTTGGCAAGTACAAAACGCTGCTGTTTATCTTCTCATGTCTTATAGCATCTATAATTCTTTTTTAATGAACATGTACTCTCATATAATTGGCCTCCAGGAATTGTCAGCAAACTTGGCCTTACACCGCATGCCTAGCTTTACTGTACTCTAGCTGTTTGAACACTATATACTCTGTTGCTGAAAAAGAGTATGACAACCCTAATATTATCATTCAGGCTATTTGCAGCTTAGGTTGGTGCTTCATTATTGGCACACAATGTGTTGCTGGCCCTGACAAAGCTGCTTACTCTTAGTGGATCTAACCTGCCTGGATGGATTCCGTTTTTTAAAAAAGTGAAGAATATAAAACATAAAAACATTGGTTTATAATAAACCAAAGGGTTTGTAATGTAAAATGCATATGCATGCAAATGAGCAGGAGGTAGTGCAATTGAAAGGGGTTAATAAATATAAATTCTTATAAATATAGCAGCACGTATTGGGTAAGTAGGGTGCGGGTTGAGTAGTCTACTTACCCTATTGGGTAAGTAGGGTGTGCGTGGAATAGTCCTAGTTGTTGTCCTGGTCGAGGGCCTGAATGGCCTATGGAAAGAATTTCTTCCATATTCTCTCTGTGTTGGAAGCGTTTCCCTCTAGTAGCTGTGGTTGCTGTTCTGCATACAACACATGCCCGATTTTATTGCTTACTAGAAACTACTGCTGTCCAAAAAAGGCATCTAAGGTATGCTAAAGATCCTCTACTGTATGTATTAACTCTTATTTATTAGTCTCTGTATATGCTGTATATACTCATTACTCATAGTATATTTTATTTTTATGGTACATACCTCACCTACACTTTGTCCATATTTGCACTATGCTGCAATTTTGATAGAAGCTAATCTAAATTTCATTGCCTAAGACAATAAAAATCTATCTATCTATCTATCTATCTATCTATCTATCTATCCATCCATCCATCCATCCAATAGCTAATCATAGTGCAGTAAACGAGGTTCTGCCAACCAATCCGGTGCATGAGGTTGCATTTTTCTGAATACGGGTGGGAAAAGAAACACTACAGAGGATGCGAGTACCGCTTTAACAGCAGCAGTGTAGACCACGCCCTGGCCTCCGAGTGGCTAAAGGCAGCACAGCATCCTTCGCCCTGCACAAGAGCCGCTTCACCTTCGCCGAAACCCAAAGCAAGAAAAAAAACAACAACAATCAGGCGAGCAGCAACGTTTCACACGCAGCTACACCTTTAAACCAAGGAACTGGTTTAAACTCGTCCTCTTCGGCTCCACCACATTCACGCAACGTAAGCATTTACTGGCAGCTTTTTTGCTTTTTTGTGGATGTTTTGAAGGCACTAAGTGTTACAGACATATTCGAGGGCCATTTTTTTCCAACGTATATTGTTTCTTTTTTTCAGTCAGATTTTCCTCAGCCTCGCCGTGTCTTCATCATGACCGATCCCGCCGCAGAATGCAACATCAAGGTGCTGTGTCGCTTTCGCCCTCTGAATCAAGCCGAGATCATCCGGGGGGATAAATTTCTCCCCACCTTTCAAGGGGACGACACCGTCGTCGTCGGGGTACTGTACATACTTACTACTCATACTCATATATGAACAAGCTTTGACCGCTACACCTGTTTCATTTCCAGAAAAAAAATAATTTGAGCAGCAGGCGTACATTCGCTGCACTGAGAGGCCTTTAGGAAACAGACTGGCTTATTGAAATGGCGTTGGCTGAGCGATGATGCTCAGTCATACTCAGGATGGGCGATATGACGTAATCACCGTTCATTTATTTCGTTCTGCTGTAAACTGTGCCGGGGTCCTTCATTTTAGAGGTTTTATGTGCACTATTGTGGCTTTTCTCCCTCAGTCTGCAACGATGATTATGTCAGGCACGTTAAAGCCCGTATGTATCAGGCCTCTTGTCCTTGGTTAGGTGATTCTGGTCTGTTGCGTTTGTGCTTTTCACTGGAGGCCTGGGGGCTGGACCTGTTTATAGCTTCATCGAAATGTTGAAAAAAATCTGTTCATCCATAGCCCTTCAGCTTACTGATGGAAATATGAGGATTTGTTGAAATGTATGCAGATTACATCCACTGTAGATGGGGATCTATTGCTGTTATCTATACAGATGCCTTAAAATGAAGTCTATATTACATCAAATCTGCACATTTACATTAACTGCCTAGCTAAACTAGAATTTAGCATCATTTTGCTAAAAGGAAAATACAGAGGTCAGATTTAAATGGACCTAAAGTGAAACACAACAGACTAGTCACACCTAAGGCCTATATATAATGTAAACCTCCAATTTTCACAAAGGTACAATGAAGACTAGTATCGTTACATTGCTCATCAATACATCTGGTGTCAATATTGCAGATATTGAGTTACAGAAGCAGTGTTTAGCATCCAGACCCTGCCTCAGTCCAATAGCAGCAGTCCCATGCTAATAGCAGGCTGGGGGTGGGTGCATATAATCTGGGAGGGCAGGAGAAGGGGGAGACTGATACTGCGCAAAGGACTGAAGTAAATTCTGTGTTGTCTACCGGTTTCTTGCTGCACTGCATTAGCAGAAAATGAATGGTCTACTAGCCAGGCCTGCTGTCTGCATGGGATGGAATTAACTTTGGAATGAAAGCCATCAAATATCATCATAAGTAATGGGCTTGGTTAACACCGTAGTTTTATGCAAAGCTCAAATAATAAACCTTGTTCTGTTGTTCCGACTCTCAAATTCTGCATAATGTCTTTCTCAAACCTATTTTGGTATTTAAAAACACTGCAAATTTAAAAACAATGCAGTTTAGTTTTGTGTGTGTTATTTATGTTGCAAAGAAGACCTAAGCTCCTCCCCCTTTGGGTGAGTCTCATAAGAAACTGCTCTTGTGATTGTGGTGCTTTTGTGTACATGACTACAATCCCATTGTTTTTTGTGTCTTCAGGGGAAGTCTTTCGCATTTGATCGGGTGTTTCCCACCAACACCACCCAGGAGCAAGTCTACAACACCTGTGCCAAGCAGATAGTAAAAGGTCAGGGCCAAAGCATTTATATGTATTCATGTGTTTTTATCACTGTCAAATCACTGTCAAAATGTGTTTGGGCAGTTCAAATTTGTTTTTGTTCTTGTTTGCTTTGTATCCTCAAGCATGTTATCTTAAGGATGACTGTATATAGCAAAGTGAGAAATTGCCTATTAGCTATATTAGCTTATTTCTAAGCATTCATTAGCACCCCACCTTACCCTGCCTCATGATGGAAAGCTTTGTTTTGTTCATTTAACCTTTTTGCTTTGTTTCATTTAAAGTATTTATTTGAACTGAATAAAACCAGTTAAATTGCTTGTTCACTTACAAAGGACCTTGTATAATTACCACGTACTTCCCAACTGGGCTAGTTTGTAATAAAGCTTAATAATTTATAATAATAACTGGACAGGCAGCATGTAACATCAAACATAGCGGAATATCCAGAATATTGTGAAACTGAAACATTTGTATCCTTCTTCTGGACAAGCTTGTGTGTTTTACTCTTTACTGGAGAGTAGATTTCATTTACCAGAGTGTGTAGCCTCTAATTAAGAGTATCTTTTCTATCATATACATTTTTCCATTGTATACAACTAAAATAGATTATCATACAAAGGAAAGCAAAAATAATCATGCGGCACATGAAAAAGAATGACAGAACAGTAATTTGTGTACTGTGTACACTACATGTACACAGAGCAATGTATATGCATCACCAGGAAACTGACTCATTCAATGAGATCAGTGATCAATGAGATTTGTGACTTCTCAGCCTCATCTTATGGCTGATTACGACTCTCTCTCAAATGTTTAAATTATTAACACTGGTTGATTATTATCATCAGCATTAGGATCAGAATTAGGATTGGGACCAGAGTAATGGTTAAGTTTAGGTATTTAGGTGAGGTTTATTTTATAGTTAGAGTGAATATTAGGTTCTGGATTAGGGAGAGGTTAAGCTTAAATGAATAGATATTTAGTTTTTTAGAGCATTTACAAGTCATCTACAGTGGACAAAGATCAAACCAGAGTACTATCAGAATGAGAATATGAGTAGGGAAATGTGATTTTCTGTGTTTTGTCTGTGTGTAGATGTGCTGGGAGGCTACAATGGCACCATCTTTGCTTATGGACAGACTTCCTCTGGAAAGACCCACACCATGGAGGTAAGAGATCACTACTTTTAGATTAACTACTTTTGACAGCCAATGTCATTAAAACCTAATTTTCCTTGCTTTTTTGACGTAGTGTGTTGACATTGTTAAACTTTCAAAACACACCAATCACTGTCCACATATGGAAGCTAAACTGCAAAATCAGCCTGCTGTGAATTCATTGCTTTAGTGATGTCACGGAAACCGACACATTTATGATACATTTAAATTCACTTATTTAGCCTGCAGCAATCTAGCCCCACCCATTTACGCTGTTGTAAGGAGTGTTTCAGCCTGGACTGCTTTTTGAATGAGGCACAATACAGAGCAGAATCAGAACAGAATACATTTACATATATCAGACTTAAAGGCCTAGTAACAAAAACAGCCTGTTTAATTTTGGGAGATAAAGAGAGGTTGAAAGAATGTCATGTAAATATGAATTATGACTGATTTTGGTACATAAAAACACAAAAATGTGAGAGTTGGACCTTGGAGGAATCAAAATTTGTCATCATACACCTGCAGGCATTAAAAAAATATTGTTAAACAATATCATGTTACGTCTGCAGGTTTCATCATCCCCATCTATCGCTGACTGAAAACATTCAGCTAGCTCAGACACGGTTTATGTTCAAGTTGGAATTACATCACTGTATGGACAGAAAATACATTATGATTTCCAGTTTGCGTTAAATTAAATTTGCATTGTTGGCCTGATATGGCTCTTTATGGTGTGTCCCTCAGGAAGACATACATGATGAAAGATATATATTTTAAGAGCATTTGTGAAGCCAGGCACTTATGAGCATATGAATTAGTTAATTAAGCTATTTGTATTGATATCAGTGGATTTTAATATGCTGCACTATAATTATTCTTCTGTTTTGCTGTAATTAATTCGCTCTGGCTTTTCTCTCCAGGGCAACCTGCATGACCCTCAGCAGATGGGAATCATTCCCCGCATTGCTGAAGATATTTTCAACCATATCTTCTCTATGGATGAAAATCTGGAGTTCCACATCAAGGTAAACATGCACATACAGGACAACCTTATATGTGCCCTTTCAGCTAAGTAGAGTCTAAAAGTCTGCTCACTATATCAATATCCTGACATAGACCTTTCCAAAACTGAAGAAATTATCCCGAAACCAGTCCTGACCAATCACAGATGTTCTTTAGCACTATTTAGATGAGATTTATATTTACATTGGGAGGTGAGGTTGTGCCAATTTACCACAGAATATTTGTAATCTTTTTGACCAATTTACACAGCATAAGAAATCTCGATATAAATGAAAGAGATGGGAGTGGCTACTTGATTTACTCACTACCGTTATCCCAAAAAAGTGTAAAAAAACCCTCAAAACATTTAATTTAGCTGTTATTTCTGTTATCCTGCCCATCTGTCCTGCTGTCTTAACTGATTAGCATTGTCATTAGCTTGGGAATTCACAGCCAACAGTCAACATCACAGCATAAAATTGAATGTTTTATTGAAAATTTTCACATTTTAATGTTCTGAGTTGTACACGAGGTAGGTCAGTACATTTTAGCAACAGAGAACACAAGTAAATGCTTCTTTGAGTGCCTTCATACTTTCGAAACTTATTTTCTACAAAACAATTATTATTTCTACCGCTCGTTTTGTAGAAATTAAAAGGCACCATTATATTAACTGATGTGAAAGCTTGTATTCCGTAAAAATGACTGGCATGAAACATTTGGACGAGACTAAAATCAATGAGAATCGCTGCTAGAAATCACATTACCACATCCTCATGTAAAACTGATCTCATTCAAATAAGGCTTTTGTGTGTTTTGATGAATCAAGCCTTTCACCTGAACCAACAAGCATGAATGATTTTGGTCAAAAATAACACAGGCTAATCCTTAACCACATCACATCGAGAGTTAGGTGTTTTCAGTTTGTTGCAATTGCAGTATGTAAAGTGTAACAACAATATGGTTTTGTCCATTCTGTTGCTTTAGCCAGAATATTGAACTACAGCTTTAATCCCCACTCTAAGCATTTGGTTTTTATTGCTTTAGTGATAATTATCTGTATCTAGGAATACATTTTTGGGTCAGCTTTTGAAGTGAAGTGTGACTTTTGCCTTTAGTATCCTTAACCCCTTTATTAACATGCATAATCATTAACCAATATCCACCAGTAATATGTCTTATGATCATAAAACCTTTAAGTGGATCCTGTTACAACTTTATTTTTATAAATATTGCTCTGTTTTGCTACCCACATAAGCCTGTTGTAACACCTCTTTGTCTTTATTAGGTTTCTTACTTTGAAATCTACATGGAGAAGATTCGGGATCTTCTGGATGGTTTGTTTTCTTTTGCTCTTTATGAAAAGTTTTGTCTTACTTCTTAAACCATGCAATGTTTTTTTCTGTTCTTCTCTTACTCATCTTCTTTTTTCTTGGCCTAGTTACCAAGACCAACCTTTCTGTGCATGAGGACAAGAATCGTGTCCCCTTTGTTAAGGTGAGCAGTGTCACCCTTGCACCTGACTAACTGTATGCCAGGACGTACTATGGAAGCTTTTTAACTTTTCTCCAAGGAAATTCTTGAAAATGAAGGCCCCATGCAATGGAAAACTGAATTTTCTTTGCTTTTTGCAAATAAAAGAGTTTCAGATTATGGAAACAAAATGTACAGTTCACTCCCCTGTTCGTACAGTCCATATATTGAATGTAAACTTGTTTTGAATGTATTGTTCTTGTTATTTTACAAAAACCAATATATATATATATATATATATATATATATATATATATATATATATATATATACATATATATATATATATATATATATATATATGCCTTTTCAGCTTACAGCAGTTTGGCTCTGCCCATTCACACTAAAGTTGCAAGTGGTGTTTTGAATGAAGCACAATACAGGGCTAAATACAAAGAAAACTGTGGGATATGGACATTTTATTTCAGATGCAACCTTCTCAGTGAAGTGAGAATCTGAGCATTTCCTGTTTTTTTCTTTCAGGGTTGTACCGAGCGCTTTGTCTCCAGTCCAGAGGAAGTGATGGATGTTATTGATGAAGGAAAATCCAACCGCCATGTTGCTGTGACCAGTGAGTCTAAAGAACACTTTACCTTACCATTGAGTCCATTAAGTCAAAGCTTTTGAATTAAATTAACATTGCTTAAGTGAGTAATTCTTTTAAAAGATTCCTTGCTCGTTCATTGTTATTGTATTTGTATGAGATAATAAGGACTGAGTGTTGGGGTGTGAGTATAGGAGCAACAATTTTAACTTTGTCGACCTGAACATCTCACCAGCAATCCATTCAGGGAACTTGGTAACGTGGAACTCATTTAACCCCTTAAATTCCCCTTATGATCCCTTAAAATTACATACCAAGGCTTATTATTCAGTAACTTCCAAGAGTTACATTTAAACTGGCTGAGCTATTCTTAGGTTATAGAAGTGTGTAATAAAACTTTGCATCTCTAGTCACACAGAATCAGAGCTTTCTGTGTGCTATAATGTTTTATTGTTGTATTAAATGTACACAAGTCTCCCTTAACTGTTGTATGTGCTTAGATTTTTTCAGAGTGATTGTTTTGTTTGCAAGCTTTGTTTGACCATGTTATTTACATGTCCAGTAATAAGGTAAGATAACAATCTACTGAAACCCACTGAAACAAGAACCAAATAACTCCTTCCACACCTGTCACAGTAGATGACAAATTTATGACAGTTCTTGGTTTCTGTTTTATTTTGTGACATGTAACCATACAGATATAATTTATTCAGCCATAATTTATGCAGTCATAAAGCTTATGTATTATAGTGTATAAATAGTTTGATAACCATGTTATAGCATAAAACAATGTCTACAATAACAGCTTTGGTACATTGTTAGAATTCAAGCACAACCTATCACTGGGTAGTATGATTTCATTTCTGGCATACTCTTTTCTGTCTCCTTATCTCTTTCAGACATGAATGAGCATAGCTCTCGCAGCCACAGCATCTTTCTGATAAACATCAAGCAGGAAAATGTGGAAACAGAGCAGAAACTGAGTGGAAAACTCTACCTGGTGGACCTGGCTGGCAGTGAGAAGGTATGTATGTTTGTGTATGCATATGCATATTTGTTTACAAATATTACACAGCAGTGACAAGATTACTGTAAGCTTGCATGATAGAGTTCAGAACAAGCCATGAGAAATAGGTCCATACAAGCAGTGTTATATTATTTTCAGCAAACAGTTCATTCATTGGCTAGAAAATGGCATCCTATTCTGCCTTCAATAGAGAAGGGGAGCACCATCTGCTAGATAAAACTGCAGTGCTGTTTTGATGACTTGCCCATATCCAGTTCAGATGTTAAGTAGATTTTGAGCTGGGTGACAAGAATATCAATTGATCTTTTAAATTTTTCTGAATGGAGCCACCCAAAGTGACACAACTAATGAAAAAGGTTGTGTCCTCTCACTGAATTCAGATCCACATGGACTTAGTTCCTCTTGCCTGTTGCTCTGCGGCTATGCTGGCCAGTCCATCTGCCAGCTCATGTACACAGAACTAAGCAGACTGGTCAGCGCTACACAATAAGTGGATTCATACAGTGGGTGAGAACCGATGACAACTCTGAAGAGATAATTAGCATAAATTAAAAAAAAGCTTGTGTTTTAGGTTTTAGAAGATAGGGGTATTAAGCTGCCAGCTTATGTTTATTTTATAAGATGACAGTAGTAATGGGCAGTATGGACGATTTATTGTGCAGAATAGTAAAAAAAAACTGAATAGCATAGAAATAAACCTATGTCAATACTGCTTTCTGACCCTAGCTCCGCAGGCCCTGCAAAATTGCGCCAAATGTTTCATGTCTTAATTTCTAAAAGGCTGACGTTGGCTTCTTATTCACCAGCTTTTGGTTTAAAATTCCGTTAAACCTTAAATGGAGCAGCAGTTACACTAAGGGACCTGTACAGGTGCCTGAATGTAGCTGCTGCACCATTTAAGGTGGAACAAGAAATTTTAATTAGAAGCTAACTACTGCGAATTTCTTAAGTCATTTGTCTCGTGCATGCAGATAAACCAGTATACCTCCCACTACTAAATGACATATTTAAATTTATTTTTAATTCATTAATTTATTTATTTTGTTAGCGTAGGTAGTTAGCTAGTTTTATATTAGATTCAGATGCTAATGCAATTTAGCTATTTAACCACCAGTTAAGCTAAATAGCTTAATTAGCTTAATTAAGCAAATTTTCATTAAGCTAGTTAGCCACTAAGCACATTTGATGTTTAGGACTTGGGATTTAGAAAGTAAGCATCAGCAACTGGCACAGTTGTTCCTTTTATGTTTTCCTTGTTTACTCATGCATATGCATATATTTTAATATATACAAATTTAATGTACAATAAGTAAATTTAATGTATCGAGAGCCAAGTTTTAGCAGTGTCAGGGTGGACACTGATATTCTGATTACTTGTCTTAGCAAAGAAGTCATTTGGAGAAGGTTGTATGTTGAGCGATGAATGTTAAGTGCCTCTCCACTTATCACGTGATAGAAGAATAGGTTTAGTCAATAGTAGGTTTTAGAGTATAGTAAATTTTTGAAACTTTATTCACAGCGTGTTCAAACAGGTTAAATTTGATTCATCATTAAAGTGGTGCACTTGCTCTGTATTTTCCACAGACAGGGTGATGATATAGAATTTATTGCTAATATGATCAGCATGTTTGAGGTGAAAGAGATTAACAATGTGTTAGCAATTCACCTTTCTTAAGCTTTTCTCTGACTTGTCTATGTTAGGTCAGTAAGACCGGTGCAGCTGGCGCTGTGCTGGATGAGGCTAAAAACATCAACAAGTCTCTGTCGTCCCTGGGCAACGTCATCTCTGCTCTCGCTGAAGGAACGGTGAGTACACACACAAACACACAGGCGTATCCACACAAACAGATGCTAATAGAATCAGCCTGTAAAATAATACAATAAGACACAGGAGGCTCTGATTTTGCTACGGTCAAGAGGTGCATGCTTTTGTAGTGAGTGGGAGTGGGCAGTATACATGTGCTAGTAATAGGGATCTTCCAATACTCACAGGGTCAAAATGCATAAAGACATATAAACGGCATAACTTTGGAAGCAAAGCCAGCTACTTTAAGAACATATTAACACACACACTACTTGGTTTGTGTAAAATCACATAAGCTCAACTTTCACCGCCCTAAATGAAGTGTACAAACTAGTCTACATCTGAAACTGTTGTACAACAATGGAACAAGTAGTGATTTGAGTGCAGTTGATGAATTTACATACCATTTGCATATGACGCCTTGACCTATCATCATTTACTGCATCAACACTATTAAAGAGGGATTCTACTAATTTTGCAAAATTGCTGCTGAATTCAGTGACTGAGATGCAAACTAAGTCATTCAGAGTGGTTTAATGCGTAATAGTTAATTTTCTGAAAATAGGTTTCTGTACAGTGGTGGTGATAATAACCAGGGGTCCTGATATGTACAATGCAAATATAGCCATTTTATTTACAATCCAAAACCACCAGTGAAACTACACATCTTCTTGTCTTTTGAGTTTCTATATGTAGTGTCAATGATGGTAAAATCTAAAAAAAAATTGATTTTTCTTTGGAGACTATTTGCCTTACAACACTCTGCATGTACCTCTCCACCATGAATGTATTTTAAAAAATATGTTTTAGGCACATATCTCACATCAAACCTTTCATAAAACAATGTTTTAGGCAACAGGAAGCATGTTCATATTCATACCATGTCATGTAAGAACGTTCTATGAGGTATGATTTAGAGGCCATGAGAGACATCTGGCTTCCATCACCACCAATTGTGAACAATTCTTACTCCTAAAATGGAGCATTTCACATCGCACCACCCTGAATGACTTTTAATCTTCACAATTTAATTATGCAGAAATTTTAAAAAATCATCAGAATTCCCCTTTAAGCAAAAGTCTTTAATTGGAGCATTGTATTACATGGTTGCAGGGTAGTACATACAATCATTTGAAATATCATTGTTATTTTACCGTTATTACTGATACTGCTGATATTGCAGCATCCCAACTTCTTGCATCCCTGATCGTAACTATCCTTTTTATCATTTATTTTTTTTGTTGTATGAGCAGAAGACCCATGTACCATATCGTGACAGCAAGATGACCCGAATCCTGCAGGACTCTCTGGGAGGGAACTGCAGAACCACCATGTTCATCTGTTGCTCTCCCTCTAGCTTCAACGAAGCTGAGACCAGATCTACTCTCATGTTTGGACAACGGTAACACAGATGCACACATAAGATATATACACACGCACAGTTGGAATAACAAGCAGATTTGTTCAACCTCTCTCTCTCTCCTGCTCTCTCTCTCTCTCAGTGCTAAGACAATCAAGAACACGGCTTCTATCAACCTGGAACTGACAGCGGAGCAATGGAAGAGGAAGTATGAGAAGGAGAAGGAGAAGAACAAGACTCTGAGAGAGACTATTCAGAGGCTGGAGGCTGAGCTGAAACGCTGGCGAAATGGTGAGGTGCCCACACACGACACAAGAGATGTACATACATCTGTACATGCATATGATTATATATTATGCAGTATACAAAAATACACCAACAAAAGTGAGTACACCCCTCACATTTCTGCAAATATTTTATTATATCTTTTCATGGGACAACACTATAGAAATGAAACTTGGATATAACTTAGTCAGTGTACAGCTTGTATAGCAGTATAGATTTACTGTCCTCTGAAAATAACTCAACACACAGCCATTGATGTCTAAATAGCTGGCAACACAAGTGAGTGCACCTCACAGTGAACATGTCCAAATTGTGCTCAAAGTGTCAATATTTTGTGTGACCACCATTATTATCTAGCACTGCCTTAACCCTCTTGGGCATGGAATTCACAAGAGCTGCACAGGTTGCTACTGGAATCCTCTTCCACTCCTCCATAATGACATCATGGAGCTGGTGGATGTTTGACACCTTGCGCTCCTCCACCTTCCACTTTAGGATGCCCCACAGGTGCTCAATTGGGTTTAGGTCTGGAGACATATTTGGACAGTCCATCACCTTTACCTTCAGCTTCCTCAGCAAGGCAGTTGTCAGGTGTGTTTGGGGTTGTTATCATGTTGGAAAACTGCCATGTGGCGCAGTTTCCGAAGGGAGGGGATCATGCTCTGCTTCAAAATGTCACAGTACATGTTGGAATTCATGTTTCCCTCAATGAACCGCAGCTCCCCAGTGCTGGCAGCGCTCATGCAGCCCCAGATCATGATGCTACCACCACCATGCTTGACTGTAGGCAAGAGACAGTTGTCTTGGTACTCCTCACCAGGGTGCCGCCACACATGCTGGACACCGTCTGAGCCAAACGAGTTTATCTTGGTCTCGTCAGACCACAGGACATGGTTCCAGTAATCCATGTTCTTGGACTGCTTGTCTTCAGCAAACTGTTTGCGGGCTTTCTTGTGCGTCAGCTTCAGAAGAGGCTTCCATCTGGGACGACGGCCATGCAGACCGAGTTGATGCATTGTGCGGCGTATGGTCTGAGCACTGACAGGCTGACCTCCCACTTCTTCAACCTCTGCAGCAATGCTGGCAGCACTTGTGTCTATTTTTTTTGAAGCCAACCTCTGGATATGATGCTGAACACATGGACTCAACTTCTTTGGTCGACCCTGGCGAGACCTGTTCCGAGTGGAACCTGTCCTGGAAAACCGCTGTATGGCCACCATGCTATAGCTCGGTTTCAGGGTGTTAGCAATCATCTTATAGCCAGGCCATCTTTGTGGACAGCATCAATTCTATTTCTCACATCCTCAGAGAGTTCTTTGCCATGAGGTGCCATGTTGAATATCCAGTGGCCAGTATGAGAGAATTGTACCCAAAACACCAAGTTTAACAGCCCTGCTCCCCATTCACACCTGGAACCTTGTAACTCTAATGAGTCACATGACACCAGGGAGGGACAACGACACAATTGGGCACAATTGGGCACAATTTGGACATGTTCACTGTGAGGTGCACTCACTTGTGTTGCCAGCTATTTAGACATTAATGGCTGTGTGTTGAGTTATTTTCAGAGGACAGTAAATCTATACTGCTATACAAGCTGTACACTGACTACTTTACGTTATATCCAAGTTTCATTTCTATAGTGTTGTCCCATGAAAAGATATAATAAAATATTTGCAGAAATGTAGTCACACTCATTGGCCACTACATAAGGTAACCTAAAATATAGGTGCATTTTGTAGGTTTGCAGTTACTGACTATAGCCCTTCTAATCCTCTACCCCACCCATCAGTGGAAAATGACCACCGTATGACTCCCAGTGTTGTGGATCTTTATCAGCACTGTGGTGATAACAAAGTGGTTGTGGCCTTTCTTGCACTGGCACGTGTGTATCAGGCAAAGAAACGTTGCTTTGGATTTTTAAACACTGTACAATAACTGACCCCCTCCTTCAACACACCCGTCTTGTTGGTCCACTTTGTAAGTGTACAGTTAGTAACTATAGCTTGTCTTTTCCCTAGCACAGTTTGTGTCAGCCATTCACTAGTCTTTCATCAGGACCACTGTTGGCTGGATGTTTTTGGTTGTTGCATTGTTTTCACCCCAGCCCTGACATTGAGTTATGTATATATAAAAGGTCATAAAAGGGGGATTCCAAAATTTTTCAAAATTTCTGTATAGTTAAATAAATAAGTAAGATTAAACAGAGTCATTCAGAGTGATTTTATGTGAACTGCTGCACTTTAGAGAAACTCATCCGGTCAGAGTTCTTCGCAGCAGTGGTGATAGGAACCTGGCAAATGGAAATAAAATACCCAAATAAAATCTTTTCAGATTTTCCACTATTTTACCTTCTTTAAAATTGCATTTAATACTCAGAACATACATGTAGGATCACTGGTGGTTTTGGATAGTAAATGAAATGGTTATATTTATGTCCTTTGATGAATGGGGTAGAGGGGAGCTGGAACAGATGGGTTATAGTCAGTAGTCTTAAACCTACACCCAAATTATAGGTGTTTCTGATAAAACAGTCAATGAGTGTGAGAATTCCTTGTGGTGTTTTCATCCTTTTTTGCACTCTGTGTACATTTAATGAACATTTTGTTTTGACAGGTTCTGAATCTACACTTAAATGTTGAAAATTTTCAGAATCATGACAAAAATGAAAAATTTCTTTCCTTAAAACAAGACTGTACAGACCGCAATGTTTTTTCATCCAATTCTGTGCTTACAAACACAATTGTGGTGTTGATTAGAAGTTCATTTCTGAAAGAAAGAGTGATGAATGAAAAGCAGTGAATGAAAAGCACCTCACTGTGTGTTCTTTTCCCTTTTCTTATCAGGAGAGGAAGTGCCGGAGACGGAGCAGGCCTGCGCTGACGTGACGAAACTTGAGAGCAGTGATGAGCCATCTCTGGATAATGAGAGAGAGATGGAGAGACAGAAAGAGAGAGAGAGAGAGAGGGACTCGGATTCCTCCTCCATTGTTGTGCGCATCTCTGAAGAGGAGCGGCAGAAGTATGAGGAAGAGATCCGCAAGCTTTACCGCCAGCTGGATGACAAGGTTATTTCTCATACACGCACACACACACACAAACACACACACACATCACATGCACACACACATACACACACATATAATCACCATGGTCCAGAAATAAAACTCAGCATAATTTTTAAATCAGCTTTGTGCTTATCTGCTTGATTTTACTTATTAAGCTGCTGTCCTATTATGTGTTTATGTGTGTGTCTTTAGGATGATGAAATCAATCTGCAGTGTCAGCTGGTTGAGAAGCTGAAGCAGCAAATGTTGGCTCAGGATGAGGTAAGGCTTTAGACTATATATTTTTTGGAAGCAACAGTACTTACGTGTACTTATGTAATATAATCCGTACTTCAGCTCCTTATTTCTTATCTATTAGATTGATAGTAGCTGCTGAATAAAACATAGTACAATTAATAACTGTATGGTAAACTGTGCAGTGTGTATGTGCAAATGTGTGGGATCCAAAAATCTAAGACCCCATTGAAAATCTGTTGTTTTTATTTAAACCTGGAAATAACCAACAGAAAGTTTTAGACTTTTATACATTTTGAAACAAAGAAAAGCTGTGACTAGTAAATGAATAAGAAATATTTAAGATTCTGCACTATTTCTAGGTCACAATTCAAATTTAAGCAAATTTGTGACAGTGACCATATCAAGGCCTTTGTAGAAAAATATCAGATTGTCTTCCATTGAAGGTCTCTTCCATAGAAATACGTATTTAGACAACTCTTAAGTGGACTTGATCTACTCATCAGAGCCTTTTGCACCAACCTGTGGGTGCACGCTGTCAATAAAGCAAAAGGGGGACCAAATACTAAGAAATTCTGAAATTCATGTGATTGTATTTTTCACTCAAATTGGCTGTACAGTTGTATTGGAGAATACTTTCATATTGCAAGTTAGTTTCATGGCTGATTAATAAAGAAAGTATCACAGAACATTCGGCTTTTACAGGTGCGCACACTGGTTCTAGTTAAAATCTGGCGTCAGTTTTAACAGGACATTTAAAACTGAGAAAAAGAAGTACTGCAAGCAATTTAGTGCTTGAATTGTAACAAATTCATTGAAATTGTTACTTCACAGTTTAATAAAACAAAAACTGTCAGTTCGGAATACCACTATGCACATATAAAACTGAAGTGATTTATATGCACATTTTAAAAAAATGAAGTGACCTGCAGTAACTGATCAGTGAGGTCAATCAAACTGGATCATAAATCAGACTTAAACTCACTACAAAATTGCCATTTTGAAAAAGTAAGTGACAGTCCAGACTGTCACATTGTGCACATACTTAAAAATACAGTAATTTCACTGCAGCCTTAAATAGCACATCTCATCTAAATTGTGCAGCCCTAATACACATGAACACATGCTAATATTCTTATACTGCCTATGTATTTATATGCGTGTTTGTTGTAGCTGCTGGCATCTACACGTGGTGACAGTGACAAGGTCCAGACAGAGCTGGGTCGGCTGCAGTCTGAGAGTGAGAGTGCGAAAGCTGAGGTCAGGGAGGTGCTGCAGGCTCTGGAGGAACTGGCTGTCAACTATGACCAGAAGAGCCAGGAGGTGGAGGAGAAGAGCCTGCACAACAAGCAGCTTGCCGAGCAGCTCAGCCAAAAAATGGTGCGGAGACACACATACAGACAACTTAGCAAATAGTTTAAAACCATTTATCTGAGCAGTAAGTGTGTTTTTGCCAATAAAAACACTATATAACATTAGAATACATGCAATCAATGCAGCAAAAAGTACAGGACTTTCTTGTTTTCAGAAAAGTAGTTGACATTAGCTGGGTAGAAGAACACAGCTTTGCTTTCTTGATGTCATGTATGTGGGAATACTCAGTAAAATCAGACACAGCATACACAGTTACTAAATTATACATGTCACATTGAACAACCTAGTTCTATAAAGTGCTTTTGGAAATTTAAAATGATTTTATATGCTGAAATCAATTCAGAGTTGTCTACGACTTTCAGCATCCATATTGTTTTAGATTTCAAATAGTCCCAATTAGCTCACAATGCCGAATAATCCAAATAATCTGACAGTTCACCATAGCTAATTTGCCCAATCATCTAAATAATTCCACTGTAGCCTATTTTTAATTATAGCAGTGATGTTGTAAACCTTTTATAAATGGGAAGGGCTCTTGATGTCTGTACTGTATCATGAATATAGTGACAACATCAGTGCTCTATTTACTTTAGTGCTTATTCATGTGTTGGGTGTGAGTAGAGATGAGTAAGAGGCCTAGAGTTTTCTCCTCCTGCTCAGCTTTTCATCATTCTGTACCCTCTTTAGGCCAGTCTAATGGAACTGGAGGCTGAGCTGGCTCAGATGCAAGAAGTGAGCTCTCAGCAGAGGAAGCGTATCGCCGATGTGCTAAATGGACTTATGCGTGACCTGAGCGAGTTCAGCAACATTGTGGGCAACGGAGAAATCAAACTGGTAAAGAGACAGTTTCTATCCATTGGAAATTAAATATATTACTATATGTTGTCGGTATATTCCAAAATAGAAATATGATATATAGTAATAGATTTTCATTGTATTAGTTTTTAAATTTTTTAGTTTTTGATATTGACCTGTCAAAATCCTGTGTTAACCAGTAACCATAACTGTGAGGCATTTGCTAAGCATTGCTCCCTCCTGAGCCACCAGCACACTCTCAAACACCCAAATACAGGGTCTTAAACACCCAATTACAGTTTACAGAGCTAAATATAGATACTAAATTCCATCGCTCTGGTAGGAGAAGCATATGTTTATTGATTACTGCATTAACTGTGATACTGCAGCATTTTAACAATAACTATGTAAGATTTCATTCATTATATTACAGTTAAAAGAAGTAGCATTACTGAGTCAGGGAAAAAAACACGCTAAAGTATCTTGTGTGTTGCTGAGAGCCACCCTGTAAAGCCTGAAGTAATCATTTAGTCAGATGCGTTGGGTTGGATTTCACAGGAGTTTTTCACATCGTATGTATTTTCGTATTAACATTGCACATCCGACACAATGTTTAGGTCTTAAAAGCAAATTTGGCCCACCCATGAATTTGTCATGCCTATCAAAGATGGTGGTCCTGGTGCCACTACTGTATAGGATCTTTATTATTTTGCTGTTTGTATGATCATGTTTATAAGCAAATTTGACGAGCAGTCTGTAGAACATGAAAGAGCACCATCGTATAGTCAGTGTGCTGCTCAAGCGTCCCATTAAGTTAGTTCTTCACCCTCCTCCGTCTGTGCAGCCGGTGGAGATCAGCGGAGCTATAGAGGAGGAGTTCACTGTGGCCAGGCTGTACATCAGCAAGATTAAATCAGAGGTGAAGTCGATGGTGAAGCGGTGCAGGCAGCTGGAGTGCATGCAGCTGGAATGCCATCGCAAGATGGAGGAGACCAGCCGAGAACTCTCCTCCTGCCAGCTGCTCATCTCACAGGTGTGTGTGTGCCAGTATGGAAAGATGATTAGGCTGACTATATTATAGCCTACATTATTAGTAAAATTTTGTTATGTAATGTTAATACACTAACTTTCAAAAGTTAGAAATCAATGCTTTCAACAGTGTATAACCAGTTTAGTTTCAAATAAATGTATAAAGTAATTCTGATATGTTAGTCCTGTCCTTACAGCTTTCATATAATTAGTAAGACACTAGGAAGCTGTAAATAAAAACTGAGAAATGTTAAATGGCAAGAGAGTTTAAACTTTGGAACAGTAGGGTATGTTATATTAATATGTGTTATCTTAAGGTCATATAATGAGCTCAGTGGTTTTTTAGTAACATTTTTTTTGGTTTGTCTGTGTGCATTTGTGTGTGTGTGTGTGTAGCATGAGGCAAAGATCCGGTCTCTTACTGAGTACATGCAGAATGTGGAGCAGAAGAAGAGACAGCTGGAGGATAGCTATGATGCTCTGAGTGAGGAGCTGTCTCTGTTGCAGAATCCAAGTAAGACATGCACGTAACAACACATGCATGCCTTAAACATACGCATAAATAAATGCAAATTGTAGGAGAAAAAATAATACAGTATGTTACCTTTTCAAGGAATAATTTGCAGTTAAAAGTAATATTGTGCAGTATATCTCAAAATGTTATATCATAATACTTTGTGATAATATTGTATCACCCTTAGCAAAGTCCATAGGTGAACGCTATCAACCATACAAAATTCTCACCATTTTACAAGTGAAAAATAAAAGGCACAGTTTTTTGTTTACAGAACACAAAAAGAATGTTTTCCGCTGTTCTAGTCATTTAGCATTCACATATTCTACTGCTGCTTTAACAGGCAGCACAGCAGAGCAGCAAGATGGAGGAGAAAAGCCAGAAACAGAGGAGAATGATGGAAAGGTAAGTCCCTTTTGTGTCCTTTTCTGACCTCTAAGCCCACTGACATAGAGATTTCTATAAAAATAAACATCAGCACAACACCTCTCAAATAAGCAGCCACTTTACAATTCCCAATGGCAGAGTTACCTTTACCACAAAGCTATTGCCATGTCTTGTACTGATCAAATGCCACACACAAAATGTGCTGCTAACCATGCACCTTTCTAGATAAAAGTAAAAAAATTCAAATGTTAATAAATGTTTCTGTTTTTTATTTGTTTTGTGTGTATCTGTGATAGGAACTAAAGAGTGCTGTAATGAGCACTGAGGTAATTATATGAATATCCTCATTATATAAATCTCCTTTCTGTTTTCCCAGAAGGCTCTGCGTCGTCCTGCAGCCCATCGCGAACCTCGCCAGACTCAGCTCAGCCGTCTGAGGGATGAGATCAATGAGAAACAACGCCTCATCGACGAGCTCACTGAGTCAGTGACCAGTCACCTCTGTCTTTAACTTAAAACATAGTTTGGCAAAATCTGATTTTATACAATTTTCCCCTTATACATTGAGTGTCTAAAGTTTGCTTCTATTGATTTTAGTTTTGAGTAAAGAGTAGTGTGCACATTAAATCATACTTTATCTTCATGATATAAGTTTCCTTAATAAACACATCATTAAGAGCTGCGATGACAGAATTGATCAAATTACATCATACGTGCAGTGCTACAAAGACATCATTACATTGCAGGCACAAACCATTAGAGGCCTAATGAGTGCTTCTCTGTGCCAGGATTGAACCCTGCTTTCCCACATGGTGGGTGAGCACATGCAGCCAGAGGCACATTATTTTAGTAATAATTTATCACACATATTGTCATCGTGATATCCAACAGCTTTATCAAACATCATGTTTATGTTGATATCGTACAGCTCTACTGAAGAGTGAACAAAAGTACATACAAGATTCATACTAGCATACTTACTTTTTGCTTTGCAATGTACTGTTGTTGATTCTTACAGATAACAGTATGCTAACCTCATAAGCAGGTCTATTGTTTGAAATTACAACCCAACACGATTTGAGGAAAGTATGTCATCAAGTTTGTCTGATGCTTATTGGTGGGGCATAAGCTGTCATGCTTCATGTAAATGATATTTAAATAAGGTACTGGTAGGCTGGCGCTTGATTTCTTGCACTGAAGCTGATTTGTCATTTGCGCTGAAATCCCTGCTCGTTTCCACATTGTACAAAAGTTTCATGACTCAGAGGCAGAGTAGTTGGTATCTTATTATAGGTGGTCAAATCTGCACTCTTTTCTATGCAGCTTGATGGATAAGGGCCAAAGTGTCTTTGTCAAAATATTATAATTCATATTACCATCTTGAAAATTGAGAAGTTTCATGATACGCTGTTTGTTCCGCATCGTCCCCACCTAGTGTGAATACATTTAAAAATCATTAAAGATATATATTGTCTGGTATGTGTTGTATCTTAATGTTAAAACTGAAATAACCTTTATGTGACCTCTCTCTGCAGTAAGAACCAGGCTCTGGAGCTAGAGCTGGCCCACGTGCGATCTGACTTCAGCAACCTGAAGATGCAGGAGGACACGAAGAGTGCTCGTTTGGAACAGCTGTCGTATGTTTCAACTTAAGTAACTGAAGAATCTAGATTTAGTTGATTTGAACTGCAACATTTAGATGTTATATAGCCTCATCCATAACTGCATTTAGAGCCAGTTTTCTAAATGTAGTTTAAGACTAGTCCTTGACCAAAAAGGATTTTAAGTGGTGAACCTGCTGACAATACAGGTCAGTTCACTCTTGGTGCAATCCGTGTCTGGAAATGTGCCAAACACAAAGGTAGTGGTGGTGGAGTGTGTGTGTAGTGTGTGATGGTGGAATGTGTTGTGAGATGATGTACACAGTGTGTCTGTGTGAAATGCCATTGCTTTTTGCTGTTAAGTTTGTATAGTTTATGGCCTTTTTTTGTGCGTGTGTGATTTTCCTTAATGGAAGGATAATGGAACTCTGTATCCATCCTTGCAGATTCCAGCAGGAGAGGCACGAGCAGTCTAAACAGGATCTCAAGGGCCTGGAGGAGACTGTTGTGAGTCCCTCTGTTCTTCATCTTTCACATATTCCCTTTTCTTCTTTTTGGAATTCTTAAAGAGGATTTCCACCGATTTTTTAAAATGTGTGCATAATTAAATTCTTAAGGTCTAAACAAAATAATTCAGAGTGGTCTGATCTGAAATGCTCTATTTCAGAGAAACGTATCAAATCAGAATTGTTCACAGCAGTGATAGGAAACAGACGTGTGAAGCATTTAATGTCTATAAGAGCTACCTCTTAGAAAACTATTCAGACCCACCAGGATTTCTTGATCTTCGTTATTGTTGCGGACTAAAATGTTCAATTTTGCAGCAATATTTCTCAAAGTAGCCATATTTTTAACTTTTTTTGGGTGGGTGGATGGTTGCAATGTAGATGTTTGTGAACACTGAGTCTGATGTTTATTTTAATTGCTTTAATTGTAGCCTAGTAAATTTCTTGAGAAAAATTGAAAATTCATATCACTCTTCACTGAGTTATAAAGCCTTTATTATAACATGGCTGTGGACAAAAATATCTCTCAGTGCATTTCAGCAAGAGCCTTCATCAGGTATAAGGTTCAAGGTCACAAAAAAGTAGCTAGACATTTTAAATTACAACATTTCAATAATCCTTCCAAGTTTAGAATATGAGGTATTGATCATATTCCAGATACATGTAGTAAAGGGAATAGAGAACAGAAACTTGACCAAAGGGTGGACTTTTTGGATCTATAAATTAAACGCTACTTTTTCCTAGATTAGATAAAAACATATAAAAACTCATAACATTTTGTATAGCATATACAATGGCTGTATTTGTGCTGTGCACATTGTGACCTGTAGTTCCTATTACCAGCATTGTAAAGAAAGTCAGAATCTGTAAGTTTCTCTGCTTCACATCAAACCACTCTAAACGACTGTTTGCATCAAAAGAATTGCACAGAAATTTTGATAAATAGAAGAAATTCCCCTTTACAAATGTTACTTTTTGTCCCCACTTTGGTTATTACAAGTAACAAGTGTTGGTTTTGTTCCTTTGGGTTGTTAACCTCCAAAAGATGTCTGATGAACAACAATTAAGAGGTTGTAAATTCATGTATTCCATAACATCATGAAACGTATCTTACTCGTGTAACTGCAGAAAAGCTGTTACTTGCCATAACAGTTATATGAGAGGTTTTATTCTATAATGGAAGCAGTTGCTATCATAGTTTGGCAAACAATTAGGCCACGTTTTTTAACAATCCAACTATCATGTGAAATTTGTTATAGAGAATAGCCAAAAATATTGCTTGTGGCATCACTAAATTGGTTTTCATGAAACATACATTATAAGTCCAACATTAAAGGGCTCCTATCTTGGAAAACTGGATTTTCCTCTCTGTTTTGAAATAAAAAAGTTTAATATAGAATATAAACATTGTCAAATTTTGTCCCTAGTCCATACAGTTCATATATAGAAACTAAACTGCAAACACAGTCCATATTCACTGTTTTTGTGACGTCACAAAAAACAGCTAAATATATCCACCTGTTGGGCCTGCAACAGTTCACACCCATTCACATTAAAAGTATAAGGACTGCTTCAGTATAAGAAATGCTTCAGCCTGGACTGTTTTTTTGCTTGAGACGCAATACAGACAGTATGCAGCCTTTTAGAACAGAGCTCATTTACATATGTCAGTCTTAAAGACACAGGTACAAGAACAGACTATTCTTAAGGATAAAAAGAGGTTGAAAATGATCATGAATTGTGGCTGTTGTGGCCACACAAACATTATAAGCAGACCTCAGTAAAAAAAAAAAATAAAATGCAAGAAAAATATAGGATAGAGGCCCTGAACTGCATTACTTTATACATAATTACAGCTTTTGTGGTTGTGATGTTTAACCTTTCACATGATGCAGCATTTCTGAAGTATCTCTCTGTCTCCATCTGCCTGTCTGTCTGTGTATATCTTTCTCTTGTCTTGCTGATGGTCAGGCCCGCGAACTCCAGACCCTCCACAACCTGCGCAAGCTGTTCGTTCAAGACCTCACGACTCGAGTTAAAAAAGTGAGCCCCACACCTCACTATCACAAGCACTTGCCTGTGGCTGAGCTGCATGCTCTCTGTGTGTGTGTTACACAAAATGCACACAAAATGTGTAAATGCAAACAGTTCCCATTTGTAACCATTTCCTGTGATATGAATACAGTATGTGCATACAGTGCCCTGTACTGATGTTGCTAAACAACTTGTACCTATGTCTTTTCTTCATTACCCTTTTTCTGTACAGAGTTCAGAAATTGGACCTGATGATAGTGGGGGGTCTAACACCCAGAAACAGAAGATTTCCTTTCTTGAGAACAACCTGGACCAGCTTACAAAGGTTCACAAACAGGTGTGGGAGGGAATTTTAAGTATTTCATCACTGTTGTAAAAAAAAAAAAACTTACAAGAGAAAGAAAAAAGCAATGCACTTCTTTGCTTTAAGCGTCTCGCTGATGATGCATTCTGAGAATGTGGTGATGGACCTGCCAAAGTCGTTACGGTTCATGCATGTCCACATTGGCCATAGTAAAATAGATTGATGTGTAAAATTTTCGCTTTTTTTTCTGCTACCATGTTTATTATCACTGAGTCAGACTTTGATGCGCTGATGTTTTCAGAGTACGTGTGATAGTTAATTTAGAGCACAGTTCAGATTGATTAGTAAGCACTTGTTATTAAATAGTTTAATCGGGGTAAATAATGGATCATGACTAATGTGTGACTTAGTCCTATTCATGGGTTTTCTCATTCTAACAGGTAGTTTGTAACATATTTTTTGTGTCAGGGTCAAAGGAAGTTCATGGAGATTTTATTTTGGACCACCATTTCTATTGGTACATTCATGTGCATTGTACATGAAAAGTTCACAATGTGAAGGTCAGCTGGCATTTTAAATTAAACTCAATGAAAGATTTATTTGTATAGACCATTTTATAATGGGCATTGACACAAAACAGCATTACAGAAAATCAAAGAGCAAGAGAAAGAAACCTTGAGAGGAACCCATCCATAAAAATATAAAAAAGAAAAGAAATAAGATTGTCATTGGACAAAAGTATTTAGATTAGCCAGAGTTAACCAGTGTCTGCTGTTGGAGGCTTATCAGAGGAGCACATGAGAAATACATTTATGAAAACTAGTTACTACTCTTAGAAGCATGTCACAGTGAAAATGAGAGTTAAATCCAGCTATTACAATCAAATGTGAAAGAATAGTAAATTATAAAAATTAAAAATAACACTTGTTGTCTATTGTCTGTTGCTTGTTTTGAAATTTCTTTTGTTTTTTTTTTTTATTTTCTGTTCATCCTTTCTCCATGAAGCTGGTACGTGATAATGCAGATCTTCGCTGTGAGCTTCCGAAGCTGGAGAAGCGTCTTCGCTCTACGGCTGAGCGTGTTCGGGCGCTGGAGGCAGCACTGAAGGACGCTAAACAGGGCGCCATGAATGACCGGCGCCGTTACCAGCAGGAGGTGGAGCGCATCCGGGACGCCATGCGCTTGCGCAGTTCACTGCGCCGCCCACACACAGCTCAGATTGGTATAGCAAGTTCTGTGCATTGCTGAGAAAGCTGATAAATTGTTAGAACTTGTTATACCTCCACTGTTTCATAAGAGGCACTGATTGTTACATTGTATGCAGGGGGACACACTAATGATCAAAGTCTTGTTTAATGGGGGATTTTGTCAAAGTGAAGATAAAAATGAGCATGATCCATCACTCCAGAGAACCCATTTCCAAGGCACAGTCCAATGGTAGCATGCTTTACACCACTCCAGCTGAAGCGTAGCGTTACCGCTTTACTGGAGTTACTCTTTGTCCTGGATGGTTTCATTTCACATTAATAGCACTTACAGTTGACTGGGGCAGATCTAGAAGGGCAGAAAATTCATGAAGTGACCTGTGGCAAAGGTGGCGTTTATTTGAGGAGAATGCGTGTGTACTTAATTGTATACACCTGTTAGCAATGGGTGTTTCCACATAGTTTTGCTCATACAGTGAAGATACCTACACAGCACAATACATACTAGATAAGTACTGATTCTGCCCAAAAGTAAAATGCAGTATTAATTTCTCTAGGACAACAAAGATACCAACATGACTCTGGCCAAATCTTTTAATACGCAGCTGCTATCTTCATGATATACTGCATCCCATAATTCAGTGTGGAAAAGCAGCTAGCAGTCTTGGGATCAGTCCCTCGATGATGGCAGTATTGACATACTGGATACTATACTGCATACTGATATAAGAAGAACCATGCTGTTTACCGTATATACTAGTGGAGTGTGCTGTATACAGCATACAGTTTGCTATTTTAAACAAAGCTTGAGATTGGACTTCACTGGCTGTAATGCTATAGCTAGAGTTCAGCGTTGTTTTACACTGAAACATTTATGTGGTAGAAAAGATTTTTTTTTCTGTGTGTATATGTAATTTTTTAAAGTAATTATAACAGTGTCAAATTGTTTGTGATCTAATGTATTACTTTTTGATGATTTGTTTTCCCGCAGCAAAGCCAGTAAGGGCTGGTCACTATGCGGCTGTCACGTCCCCCACCACTTCTGTGTCCGTGCGAGCCAGTGACCCTGTCACGTCCTTCAGTAACATTCTCTTCCAGAGAGAGGAAAAGCCTGTTCACCAGAAAACCAACACGTAAATACTCTTCTCATATTCTTGTTTCCTCTTCTTTCCTCTCCTCTCTTCTCTCTTTCTCTTTTGTTGTCTCCTCTTTCTCTGTTCTTCTCTCCTCTTTTCTCATCTTTCTCTATTCTTATCTGTTCTCTCCTCTCTGCCTTCTTATCTTTCCTTTTCTCTCCTCTTTCTCAGCTCCTCTTCTGTCCCCTCTTCTATTCTCCTGTACTGTCTTCTTTTTCTTTCTTTTCTTCGTTTTTCTTCTTTTTCTCACACGTAGATGTGTTTTGCAGAGTTGGCTACAGCACTGTGAGATCCATAGACATTCTGAGCTCCTACCCACTGGATGTTGAAAACGGTTAGTGTGTCTACCAAAATTGTGTGTTTGTGTTTAAAATGTGTGAATTTGTGCATTTGCACTGTGTTTACCCTTCTTTCCTTGGGTATGCATACACAGTCTCTAATTTTCATTCTCATTATTTTCAATAGGAAACAGCACAGACATTAATGACAACAGGTATCAGTTATTACTATACACTTCATTTATTAATGGATGTTCAGCATTTTCAGTACAGATGAGTCTGACATTACTGCTTATGTGTAAAATGCTTGGTAGGGGATAGTACAGTAAAATATTGTGTTGATTTGTGTAGGAACGATGTACACTGTGGAAGTATGGTGGAGGATCCATCCAGACACTACATCATGCAGCCAGAGACTGCAGCCAGTTAATCATCTTATACAGGTAAACATGGTAAACAATTTCAGTTTCTGATTTCCTCTCAATTTAAATTGTGTTTGTTATTGTTTCATTTACTAATTTACATTTTTCATCCATTCAAGGTATTGCATGAAATATTTAGCATAGTACAGTAAGTGAGAGCATAAAGAGAGCTGGTGAAACAAATGAAACTTTAATGAAAACTGCACAGAAAAAAATAAAAATGACAGCATAACATTGTATAATGAATAAACATATTGTAAACATATAAGACATACTTTCTAAAAATGATAATAATTAAAAAATCTAGCAAATTAACTGAACTAATCATTAATTGAGCCCCTCCAACGAAAACCATATATTAACCATTCCACCCTTTTTTGGAATATCAGTTATTTTGTTTTCTATTTCTATTTTGACAACCTTTTACATTAAAAAGCCAAACTAAGCTTTATTTATGTCATGTCAAAGCCATTTCTGAAAATGTAAAATAACAGGAAAAGGAAAAAATCAATAATTAACTAAAAATTATATAAAATAATTATTTTTCTTCCAGTTTCCCCTGTTTGTGACTTGTGACTCTGGGCCCCTTAGCAACTGTTTATATTATTATAAACTGCATCAAATAATAAATAAATAAATATGACATTTTTCTGCCAGTTTCACTGTCTGCCATGACTTATATAAATAATACATAATACAATAATACTGTGCGGCTCTGGGGCCCTTAACAACTGTTTATACTGCTTATTGCAAGAAACGGCTGTGAATATGGTACTCATAGGAGGTAGTGCGCAGACATAGACAACACTTTCCCTGCGCAAATTAATATTTTTAGCAGCTGACCAATTTATAAATGTGTGTAACAGAGTTTACTGTATGTTTCTTCAGCTTTTTCTTCCACGTCTAATTGTTTCTCGCTTTTCGTCTTCTTATTTTCTTGTCTCTTTCACTTGCAGATTCCGATTTTCTGCATGCTGTCCGCTTCCTTCGCCTATTCAGAACTTGCAGAACTCCACTTCCCAGACCTCCTTGCTCTGTCCTGTCTGATACTGTATATTACTCAGTGGTTCCTCTCCATGTCAGAGCCTACTGTTTCCAGCCTTCTCTCTTGTAGTCCTGTCTTGTATATTTCACAGCACTTCTGCATGTCTGTCCTGTATAGTTTAAAAAGAAACAGAGCATAATTTATATATTTAGACACACATATACATGCAAACACTTTGGGTGCGATTTACCAAAGCATCAGTACATGTAATAGAATATGAGAAACGTGCAAAAATGTTAACGTGTACTTAAGCCTTTGGTAAATCTGAACCACAGACACAAAACCGCTGCAGCCACTGGAGAATCTTCTAGACTCTGCCCCTGTAGTCTTTTGCTGAGCCTTAAAATAGCTGCCGTCCACACCTACCGCCATCATGCAAATCTGCGTGTGCTCATGTGCACGCCTCTATATTATTGATATAAAGCTGCAGGCGCGAATGTGTTGATGTGTACATTTTGATACACATGCTGTATCCATGTACTGACTACCTCCAGATACTCTAACATCATTGTAAATGCTACTAAAATGCCATCTAATTAAGTTCAATCATATCTGGATCAATATGGATCCTGCATCACTATATTAAAAATGGCATCAGCAGAAAGAGTTTTTGGCTTATCTAAATGGACTGAAGTTGGGTTTCACTGTAGAAGAAAAAATTGCTGGTTATTGGTTCTGACCACTGATTTGAGTCATGTTGCTCATCACTCAGCCACCAATCGCTAATGAATGAGGGGTTCTCTTTCTCTGGGGACATCCTGATCAGCCAGTCAGGACAGGAGAAAGAACTACCCATCACCGTCACATGTAAGTGTGTTTTGCTGTGTGTTTGCTCCAGCACTTTCAAACACATGGTCTGCTAACCATGTGTGTGTGCATGCATGCAGCTTGAGAGCGGAGTGTCTGCTGACCATGTAATCCATATAATTGTTGGTTCAGTCTGCCTAGAGGGTTCCTGGAGATTCTTAAGCTGTTTAGAGATGTGTGTCTGTTATGCCTGTTGTCTTCCAGTCCATCACACCATCCCTAACCCCCCCCTCTTTTCCCTCTACACCCTCTCTTGTTGTTCTTGAATATCAGTTTGATCTGTGTATACTCTCACTTATATCCATATTTTATCAGAAGAAAGATATGAATGAGTGAGGAGCGTTGGTTTTACATCCCTTAAAGGATATTATATAAGTAATGAGTATGTTGCAATTAGTATTAGTAATCTGAGTAGAAGCTTCTCCTAAGTGCTGATCCAGGAATAGTTGTTCTTACCTGCATTTCTACTGCAACCATCCACTTCTACAGAACTACTCCTTATTAGTGAGTGAGTGACTGAGACTTGAGAGTGTTGACACAACTGCTGAAGTATGTTACCCCATGTTTTACGTTCTGCTCCAGGCGTGTACATCGATGTAGTTTATGTAGTTTGTTGGTTACCAATTGCAAGAGATAAATGTCCATTAAAGACAATGACAAGTATTTTTGTGTGTGTGTTTTGTTGGGAATGAGGATAATGCTAAAAATGTATCACGTTTAATCATGGTTATTGGATGTTTGAAGCTGCACTTGAGTACTCTTCAAATTACATTAGAAACTTTGTAGCTAACGCTGTTGTCTTTTTATTAGCTTCAGGTTACTACACTGATTTCAGCTACATTGACCACACATTATTTTGCCTTAGAACTCCCTGCATGTACCTGTCCACCAGAAATGGACTAAAATCAATGGATTAAAATACATTTTAAGCCAAAACTTAATCACAAAACCATCATAAACAATGTTTCAGACATCAGGCAGCATATATCTAACCTGTTCATGTAATAACTTTCTATTAGGGAGCTTTTAGAGGCGTTAAACTGTTCAGACATGTGGCTCCCATCACCACAACTGAACAATTCTGACTCTCTAGAATGGAGTGTTACCTGTCAAACCCGTCTGAATGACTTTGTTTACATCTTAACTATTTAATTATGTAGAATCTTTGAAAAATCAGTTCCCCTTTACTGTTTTTTGATGGTTTTGGTGATCTATCAGGTGTCGGTTGTTAGGGGTTTTTCTCTACATCTTGTAATTTCACTTTTTTTTATTTGATTATCTCCTTCCGTATGCAAATTGATTATTTTATGTGTATCTCTTGAGAAATATCTCCTGAAAAATTAATAACTCATACTTAATGGCGGTTTTGACTGGAACCGAATAAATGAAGGGTGGTCTCTGTCATTTGCACAATACTGTATGATTATAAAAAGCCATATAACATCAAGAATTAAGTTATAATTAATAAATGAATATACAGAATGCCTTGTATTTGGTAAGTGATGATAAAACATCAAGGCTGACAACTTGGAAAAACTAGTATTAAAAAATCATTGCATACCTTGATACAACTTTTGTGTTTATGATGTTTAAATCCACACTGTACAGTTATTGTATATAAAATGACAAAGATTATTTTGTTGATTACAAACCTTTGAACGGTAGTAATATAGATGGATTGGTAGCAGTATGTTTGAAAAATAAAAATATCCATATCCAGTAAAATTAATCAAACAGGATAAATGCAAATCTGACTACAAGAGTATGTGACAGCACATGCAACAAATGAATATATTCATTAAAACGTTAAACTGGATTGCTGTAAGAGCAAAGTAAATGTAATGGTTTCAAAATATATTTAAAATATATGTGTGCAGCCATCTTTGGCCAGAAGTATCTGAGGTGTAAAGTACTTTCACCTCAGTAAAGGGAATGGCTTAGACATGTCAAGAAATGTGTGGTGTTTCTTCTTTAATTTAGCCCTGTACCTACGAGGCTAATAATGCAGTGTGTGTCTCTAAAACTAAAGAAGCAAACCGTGGGCTCAAAGCAAGTCTTGGCTGATCAACTGCATTTTGGTGTAAGGCGAATACTGTGTAAATTTAATCAGCGAACAGGATCAGTGAAGTTTCAGCACCCCTGGTCATGTTTTGTTGATTTTCTAAGTGAAAATAAGTATATAACCTTTACAGAGAACGTAAGTCTACACATTTTAATTTGCTGAATTTAACATATTGGAAAAAAAACATAAAATGTGGCCTGTACAAAAGTAAATGTTCTGTTTTTTTTTCTATATGTTTAATTCAGCAAATAAATAGATTGTGCTCTAAAAATTACAGAAATGCCACATTTAAGTTTGTTCCCTGCGGAGGATGTGTAAACGTCATTTAACCAGGGGTATTCAAACGACTATAGTATAAAAATATGTTTGTTTTCCCATTGGTGAAGGGGTTGGTTTAGGGTGGCTTTCTGGCAGGCCAAATTAAACATCCTCATGGGCCAACTTTGGCCCAAAGGCCACACTTTGGGCAGTCTTGAACTTGGCAAATGAATGCTGCCAGCTGATGGCACTTTTATAGATTTGCTAGACAGGGGTTTACAAGACCCAGTCTTTGGAACCTTAAGGTAAAGTCCAGGCTTGTTAAGTCTGCTGAACGGGTTAGACTTGATCAGTGACTGAGGGAATGTATGCTGCTGAATGTAATGCACTGCAATAGTAGCCATGTAAACATCATTACGCCACTAAAGCAAACAGGGACAGATGCCAAAGCTGTTTGGCATTAATTGCTGACTTTGTTTTAAGAGAACAATTTACAGAACGCCTTGTAATGAAAATCGACTTGTATGTATGTATTTATTTATTTTTTTATATTGGGTAATGGCATTGAAGAAGACTGTTTGTTACGGCTACCATCATCATGGTGGTAAATGCACTGGAATGGATAACATCCTATAACTCTCATCTCCCTCGTAGAACATGCTATCCACCAGTCCTAAAGTTGGAGAACAACAAAGCACTTCTTATTTCAGTGACAAAAGAAAATGCAAGTTAAGCCCCTAAAACAGTGCATCATGTCATTTATAGCAAACCTCATACATATCTACGGATGACAAACGATAAATCATACTATAGATCAGAGAGTAGAGTAAAGCAGAAATGTGCCATACCTTCCCTGTACTGTTCTTAGTGCACTGATGTTGCTATGATTGATGTTCATCTCCAGCAAGCGGGGTATAATGGGTACAGTTGATGTGAGCTGAACATCATTAAGAGTTTGAGAGCATTTCCACACAGTGGGCGCATCACTTCTCACAGGCTCCCTACCAGGGTGACAGGAAAGAATCTAGCAGTCAGTTACTGTGTTCATTTTCACATAATTTGTTCATTTGTAATTAGTTTTATTACAGTTTTAATTAATTTTGCTTAGAAGCGTAGATGTTCAGCTTGATGCTCAGAAGTCAGTCAGGACATGGCCTTTTTCCAGTTTCCTAAAGGCTGAGTGATACTCCCTCACTGAACATTCTGGACATTTTAGCAAAAATCTCTGCTTAGCTATTCACTCAGTAAGTGATTAGCCAAGCTGTATGAACCAAACTGTATAAATTCAGAGGTGATCGGAATGAGCCATGAGGAGGTGGTAGTTGTTGTGAAATGGAGGTTTGATGTTAAAGAAAAAAAGAGCTGTGGACATCAGCTAACAACAGTTGTAAAGCAAGTGGCATTGTTTCCCCTGGGATGAAAATACATCAGTTTAATGCCTGCGAAGCCATGATGTTCCAGCCTTCAGCCAGATGGCACAGCATCATGGGTTCCAACCAGGCAAACTGTATTTGCACATTTATGTTAGCACACCTGTTCATGAACAAACTTCTTTACTTCATGAAGTATGAAGAGAAGAAGTCTCAATGGCCCTCCTAAACTCCGCAGAATAGGAAAGAAGAACCCACCAGGTACTGTGGGTGCTGCTCCACCAATCAACATTTTGCTGATCTGCTTCACTTGCCTCAGTTTCCAGTATAGAGATGTAGCCCACCCACTCCCTCACTAGGACAGTGGTCATCAACCCTATTCCTGGAGATCTACCTTCCCACAGACTTAAGCTCCAAACCTACCTGATCCATCTAATTATTGCCCTCAGTAGTCCTTGATAAGCTCAGTCAGGTGTAATAAATTTGGGTTGGTGACCACAGCACTGGGATAATGCCTGTTTCCAAGATTGTGGCTGACCTCTGTGAACTCCTCAGTATTCGCCTGGAGTTTGTACTCAGTACAGTCTTTGCTGTCAAACAGGTATTTTAGATCTCCACCTGCTTCTTCTGAGCCCCTATATGAACCAGGGGAATCCTGGCTATAGTCAAAGAGGTATGCAAATTTCAACTGTCCCCATGCCAGAGTTTTTTTTTGCTTCTTTCTTGCCATCAAGAAGGCATTCTGTTAGGAGAGCCTACAAGATAGATCACTTTCAGTCTGTTAATTAAAGGACACACACTGCAAAAAATGAAACGTAAAATATAGGATGAAAGTGCAGAATTTATCCTCTTACTTTTGGGTACTCTGAGTAATTTCAGAACCTTTGAAGTCTAAAATTGGAGGCTGGAGTTTTTGTTTCATGTTTTACAAAATAAAGTCTCACTAATACTTTAAGGGCCAGTTTCCCAGACAGGGATTAAGCCCAGTCCTGGACTACACAGGGATCTGAATGGAGAATTTCCATTGAAAGGAATATGTAGTCCATGACTAGGCTTAATCACCATCTGGGTAACCAGCCCCAAGTTTTGGCCTCACTGTTCCAGTACTTATGCATTCTGGATGTATCTGTTTACCTGGCCCCTGGGTGAAAAGTAGTGATGTTCCTTGGTCTCAGCAGATATGTAGGGGTTTTCACAGAAGGGAAGGGGGGGCACTGTTGTCTGGAGATCACTGACCGCTGTGTTCCTTGAGGTTTAAAAGCCAAGAAGTGCTTTCCAAGTGAGTAGCTCTGGCAGGAATTTGGATTCTGCAAATTCAAGCTGTAGGCCTCTCGCAGCTAATCAACGAAGACATATACAAAGTACACAGCTTATGTAACCCTTTTTACAGTTGTTATACAGGTGAAGAACTCTCTGACATAGATGTGTCCAAGACCACAGTGAAAGAGAAATATATACCAGCATGACCTCAGATGGTTTACCAAATGACATGAAGTTTAACCAGTATCATAATAATAGAATAAGGAAAGTGATGAGGAAAAGTAACAGCCCAAAGTATATCACCTCATGTGTGAAACATGTTGGCATGGACATTTATAGAGGCCAGTGGATGCTGTTTATAGTTTTGACAACCAAATGCCTCAAAACTCTTGAAGTCTTTGCAACAAGACAGCGACCTCAAACATACTACTATAGCAAGGACCAAAATGCTGGACATCACTAGATGCTGGGTTCCTTCTCTGGTGATGTCCAGCAAGGCTGCTGTGATGCAACCATTTTGAACTTGTGCTTTTTATTGCCTTTAAGGTTGTCTTCAGTAAGTGAAATGCATAACGTGAAGTTGTTCTTCTTTACTCAACACTATTCTCTTCCTTCTGCATCAGTACAAAGGTTTTTTTTTAGATGTTATTGAAGCAACCTTGGGTTCAAAGAGGCACCATGTAAACAAAGCATTTTTTTATTATTCTTCAAGA